AGGAGCTTCGCCGACCTCCTGGCCTCCTGGTCGGCGAAGCGCTGCTGCGCTTGCCTCGCCGCGTTCTCCCTGATCATTTGGTCGGCCCTCAGGCGCAAGATGTGGGCGGCTTCCTTGTGATGTTTCAACGCCGCGTCCAGGTCGCTTCGGGACAGTGCGAACAGGCTCGAGTATCCTCGCGATCTGAAACGACAAGCAATTTTGACGCTGACATGGCTCCGCGGCGCGCGTAACTACAACGAACTTCTTATTAATATCGAGTTCTTAGGTTTTCGCGATTGTTACGCATTTTCAGACCTGAATCGCGTATATTTGTTTCGTCGAACGAACGACGTTCCGGGCCCTTTCCAAGTTCCGTGATCTCGGTGACTGAGACTGACTGAATTACGCTTAAAATGTTTCATTCTCATTAACGATTACAAGTTCTGACTTTTAAATTTATGTCATACCTACATGAAGTTTACAAAAGTACCGTTAATTACGTGGCACTTAACGATTGTGTTTTTCCACAAAAGCCTTTAAATAAAAATGAAGGACCATTTCTATGAAAAAAAAAACAAAGTATCTCCCAATTATCTAGCGATTAAATAATATTAGGTGTTGATAAAGATATCCGAAAACGAATTTGAGACTCAACTTCATTAGATAATATATTAATGACGACAACAACAACGACTCAAACATCCTACGAAGTAACGTGTTATTTGGCGCCCTTAAATATAAACGGTTACACCTTTTAAGACTTTTTTGGGCAGTACAGCTCCTTATGAATGAGTTAGTAATCCAGGGAATGTACAGCCACGTTACCTATTCCCGCGACAAGAACTAATGTGAACATCACTGCCTTCCGATTTTGAAGGGCAAGGGAGCTAATAAAATTACAAGCACACGGAGCTTATCAACTTATGTCTCAGGCGACGGACGCAGTAGCAGTGCTCCACTAATCTTTGTGATTTGAAGCTCTGAGCAACACTGCAACTGTCATGGACAGACGTGTCGCTTACAACCAAGCATACGACTTGCTCGTCCCGTCATTTTGTATCATAAAAAACTTGCAGTTATTCACCGAACGATTGTCACAAGTTACAGGTTCCAGATTCCGACATACGAGTAGGTTAGTTAAAAGTCACATTAATAATACCAATTACTGTTTGTAACACTGTACGTACGTTTGAAAGATCTTACCTGACTGTAGCAGTACGCCGTCGCAGTCCGTCGATGCCCAGAAGACTTATTTCACCAAACACCGAACCTTCTTTTAAAGTTGCCAGCACCTCGTTTTCATCGTGGGACATTACCTATTAGCATTTTACTCCATTAACGATATTTTTCAATAAAATTACCTGTCACAGGCGCCATATATATTGAAATCTATAGATAGTAGATATTTAGATGTATATTCTCTGGTAGGATGTATGTAACAAGTATTTGCTACGTGCTCAATTATTCGATTAACTTCATACATAGAAGTGTAACTCACACAGCATTCACCAGATTTGATTATGTACATCTGATGGCCGACGTCTCCCTTCCTCACGACGATGTCACCAGGTAGGAACGAGACCGGTCGTAACTGCAGGACGAGGTCTCGAAGGAGAGAGTCTGAGCAGTCTTTGAACAGCTGCACCTGTCGACAGTTGCGGCTCATGCTAACGCTAACTGCAATTGTCAAGCGCGGGCTTAATTTTTTAAATAGGATTCGGCTGGAGTTTTCCGAAATCTGACTAGATTGGATTTGCGTTGCTCACGCTTTGGAAAGATTAGATAATGTTGTATTGTACTTACCTTACTCAACGTGGTAATATGCACAGCAAGGGCAACATCACGTTTCATATTGTATGGCAGTGAATCCAAAATTCTCGCTTCATCTGTACAGAACGAGCAATTAGCTTAATACAAAATTGGCTCCCTGCACGGTCACCTCCGTACAATCTCGCGTGATATCGTCAGAGGCGGAACGGGCAGAGTATATTTACTTAAACTTTAGGTAATAATACACATACAGTGAACTGAAATTCCGACCTCTGAAATTCCGGAATGGTAAAAAAAAAGTTATATTTTTACGTCTAATTACATTTTTTTGCTAACCCGTTCGCGGAGCACACACAAAAATGTCCTTATCTTTGTCATTGTCTTTAATTTTGTCAGATAGGAAATGAAACTATTTTTCCGGATTTAAATCGCGTAAATTTATTTTTTCAAACAAACCGACGTTTCGGGCCCTTTACAGGTCAGATAGTTTGATACTTTTCTACGAAGAAGCAGTAGGCAGCAGCTATGCAGGTTTTTTCAGATCCTTATAGCGAAACGGGCTACCCTGCTATGCTCTGATATTTAATTTACCGTAAATGCCATTACTGCCCATGAACGAGTTAACAGTTATCGAGTATCAAGACACGACTCTATGTGTATTACTTCTGTGCTTATTTATACTCCGAAATGACTAATATGGAAAACTAGCACTTATTTACAGGTTGAAGGTAAAAGAACAAAAACCTATAAAAAAAACTAACCAAAGCATCTCTGCTGACTCCAAGTGTAATTAAACCAGGCGGTGACGCGTCGTTGTAGTGTGCTCGGCATGTTGAGCCGGCGAAGGTATTCGGTGCACCCGTCCACTTGGTTGCGGTATTCCGACTAGGAAATACAACAGACAATATTTTAGGCGCTCCGCAGATGGAGCAACTTTAGTTGACGCAACTGGCAACTTTTTACAAGTTTCCATTAACGGTTGCCGGTTGTAGCAACTAAAAGGGCTAGTTACTGGTTGCTGCAATTTTGAATAAACTTTCGAAATCCACGGTCAAGACTGACGCTGCGGGGGACGGGGAAAGAGTAAAGGTGCTTCACGAGTTGCGGTTGTAACCGACAACCGGAAACTGACAACTGGAGACAACCGGTGCAAATTTGCAAGTTTCTAGTTACGGCAATTAAGAATTTATTTAATCACGGATTTCGGCAATCGGAAACTGTAGTCGATTGCCGAAACTCTCAACTGAAGTTACTACGTCGCGCGGTTTCTTGAAATTATATGAAAAACGTCATAAACAGCTAGTTGTGGGTTGCCAGTTGCCGAAACTCGATGATCAAAGTTGAAGTCGCATCCAAGGCTAGGCGTGGGCAAATAGTCTGTTGGTTAAAAAGTTGCAGTGCTGCTCACAAGCGTCGAAGCATTTCCAACGAGTACCGTTTGATACGATGAATTACCCTAGCTCTAGTAGCAGTGGCAATAATATCTCTGATTTGCCCAATGAGCAAAGCGAACACGAACACTCCCATCAGCCAGGCAGCCGTCATGAAAAGGTATTCTTCAGTTTTCTCTGGCTTCGGATTTTTTCCTGCAAAATATGAAAGGAAAATTATAATTAGTAATTATCCCGATAGTATTCAAAGATTTGATGATAAATTTTAATAAGGGTTTTAAACTTCATGAGAGCCAAAATCGATGACTCACCAATAGAAGTAGCGGTCTTAGTAGCGAAGTAGAAGCATCGTATGTAAGCGTTGCCTTGGTTGTCGTACACCCAGCCGTTGGAGCCGAGGCCGATGTACGCGCTCATCGCGTAATATGCGCATGCGTTCAGGTGGATTAGGTAGAAGATGTAAAATAGCATCTTGCCCACTCTCACCTGAGAGGAAGACAAGAATATCTTTAATGCCTAAGAAAGGAACGTATCCAGTTAAGCTCCAAGTTACATAACTGGTAACGAGGGAAAATGCACTTTGCAATAGCGTATGGTGGAGACGACCTATGTCCAATGACATTAGGATCCAAATTTTATTTGTAATATTAGTAGTTAAGATTTTTAGATGAAAATGAAATCTAGATAAAAACTTACGATGTAAGGTGATGACAGCACTCTGTCCATAGCCTGATGGAACTCCCAGAAGGTCTGCAGCTTCAATAGACGTGGGAATCTAAGTATGACCATACTGGTGCCGAAGTATAAGTACAGCAGATCGAGTGGCAGGAGAGCTATGACGTCGAACTGAAATGCAATTACACAAACTTATTGCAATTAAAATGTTGATACTTGGGAAACATAGCACTTGAGAAAGAACATTGTGATCAAATAGAACTTTGCTTATTACGACTACAAGAAAAATGCATGACTTTCAAAACGCGATTTCACAAGTTTTCCAATACGAAATACATAGTTACGACGTTTTGTGGGAAGATTCTTCGTTACTCTTCCTAAGTGTACCTTATATTGCAACTTCTTTTTGTAATTTCGTCTGGTCTCCACAGGGTCGTTGACCCAGAATCCTTCATGCAGGTACATTAACTTCGGCTTGACCAGCGCTACATCGATCAAGTACACTACGTCACAGAAGTAATCCATGGTCATCCACAGAGGAGTATTCTCAGGGGTCTGGTAAGGAAAGGTGGCCCGAAGGACGATGCACCAGGCGTTGTAGCCGTAGCAGAAGGTCACTAGGAGAAGCCAGCTGATGTAGCCACGACCTGGAAAAATGAAAATGTTAATATAAGTGGTTTATTGCTCAATAAGAATCAGAATCAGAATCAGAATCGTTTATTGTTTGAACTGGTAAAGATGATGTTACATGTAATTTGAGTACAACAGTTCATACCCCTGTCGGGTGTACAATGTTATATTTATATATGATATGTTTACAATATATATATTTACATATATATAATATATAATATATTTAATACATATAATATATTTACAATTAGTCAATAAAATAAAAATAAATTAAAATTAAAGTACAATTATTCAAATGTCAACAACTTAAACACTATAGGGTAAAATAATTCTATATATTACATAATTATGTTAGTCATAACGTACAATGCTTATTATATTTTATTTAATTACAAATGTATTTATTTATTCATTCATAGACATGATAACAATAGCGACCGAGTATTTATGATGGGTTTGTGGAATTAAAAGTAATGTCAGATATTGTGTAGTACGCTCTTGTAGTAAGTAATTCCTTAAGTTTAAAATTAAAATCTGTAGTTTCTACAGAATTTCTGTAGTTTCGTAGAATACATGTATACGTAATATATATATTTTTGAAAATGAAAAAGAAATACGACAGGTTGTCTTTAGACGTCGTCATTTACGAGTATTTTTATAAGGTCACCGTTAATAACAACATTATTTTTATAATTGAATAATAAAAATAAAAATAATTAAATTATAAATAATTTCATGTAATGAATGAAGACAAGCAACATTTGCTCCACCATTATGTTTCAACCGAAACGAATTATTTTTCGCTACTCGATGTCAGCGTGTATGACAATTTATCAAGACAGTTTTTTGTTTAGGAAGTCCTTGAGCTTATGCATATAGAAAATAGAATTACCATTATGTAACTGTCTGTAGTTACACGGTAGTTACTTTCAATGTATAAGGTTCGGAATAGCTTGCTTGAATCGACATAAATGGACAACATATGTAATTGATTCGACGCACCGTCTCGACTCTTGATTGGCACCCAAGGGTTATTATATTGTCGCAGAGACATTGAAATAAACCTATGTCATTAAGTAGCTGTGTTCTCTTTGTATAGAGTGGATTAATATCAAGCTTACCCTGCGGGTCTATAGGCAGGAACGGATCGCAGCAAGGCAACCTCAAACCTTTCCATTTCTTTTCTCGAACTGGCGAAGATGGGACCGGGCTTTGAGGAATTTCCACTGGCGGTACGGGCTGCTCCTCTGGGGGATCTCTGGAAATGCTTAATTGAGTACTCCAAAGTTTCGAATCGATATTCGCCCTAACGTGTCAACTATCAATTCGAAAATCATACAAAATATGTTGAAATTGATTTTTATTACAGAGCAATAATTGTAAATATTGAAAGCAACATACTCTTTCACAAAAGTTTCATCAGACTTGGCATTGAAATGTTTCAGTTCGGTGGCTAATTCGTTAACTTCGTCGATCGTCGTGTATTCGGAGGGAAGAGTGGTGAAAAGATGGACTTTTTGGAAGTTGAACAGATTTCTGAAAAATAAAATTGTATTAGCTTGTTTAGGTGGTTCAGTTTTCAGAATATAAATTCAAGAGGTTTTTCGTAAACTCACCGTTTATTGCAGTCGTGTGATTCATTGTTAAGATTTGTTGGTGTCAATCTGAAACATAAAAGTCACCAAGATCACGAGGATTGTTTCTCAAGATTTGTAAACAAGACTACACTGGCTTCGAGCGCGAACGGGACATCGAATGAGTTGTGAAAGCAAATATAATACGAAACCCCTGCTTACGCTGCGTGTGTCGGCGTAGTATCAGGCGTGCACCACGAACCGTATGGCCCCTTCAGTATGGGCGCCGCTTCCTTCTCCTGGCAGGCCGCGGGGTGGACCGTGTGCTGTCGACAAATGTTTGCGCTAAAGCCTATTCCCGCTTCGATTCACGAATTGCTCTATTGCTTGGAGTAAGATAACGTTACAAAGTCGAAGGTTGTTCACTGATGTACGACCTATACCGTCTTCAGTGAGGTTAGACTTTGTTTTTCTTATTATATTCACCACCGATGAAAATCATGATTAAGTAATGAAGTACGAAATTAAAATCTTTACATTTACGAGAAGTAGCTAAGGGAGAAAGATTCCTTTTTGTTTAAAACGTGTAATGAGACTAAATAATGAGTACGATTTTGTAATATCAATTAGTTTTACCCTACAAAGGCCCGTACATAATTATAGATACTGTTTAATATTTGTTATGTAACAATATCCAGCGGACGTTGGGTCCGCTAGATATTGGCCTCTGCGACGATAAACATTATCGTCCTATAATCCTATTTTATTGAAATCATAAAACGACGTCCACTCCTCGAAAAACATCATATAAATATACCTAGCCCTAAATAATATAATAGCCCTAAATATGAGTATTTAGGGCTATTATACGATTTATTCGAAAAGAATAACATACGTATAGAACCAATTTATCTGTGATTATTATTTATTGATCTGGAGATGAATCTTTCCATTTATTTCAACGGTGAAAGAAAGAGATCGTTGTTGTGCAATCTGTATTTTAAAAAACTTTACATAATGTAGAAACGCAGTAATAGACTGTATTCGGGTAATGCAGTTCTACAGCACACACACAACACAACACATACCATGTACTTTATTTGCAGACGACATCTCAATTATTTTCAAGCGCAACAAAAACTTCCAGATACACTGTGAACAGACATTTAAAAACGTGACAAACTGGCTTAACAAACACAACTTAGAAATAAATTATAAATCATAGAATTTCGACCACGACCGAAGTCAGACTTAGGATCAAATTTATGTGTAAATGGTAAAAATTAGAGAAAGTTACTACGCATAGCTTCCTAGGAACAGAAATTGACACACATATTGATTGGAAATCACATATACAAAAAATTTCAATGAAAACGTCCCAGTTCACTAACGATTTACACGAATTAAAATGTGTCACAAATTTAAAAACAGCTTTATCAGCCTATTACGAGCATGCTTGCATGGTTAAATTACAGTTTCATACGAACCATGGGGAAACAGTACCTAGGTAGGATTGGCCTTCTTATTCTACACAAAAAGTGAGTACGTATCATCACGAATATCGAACAGATGGAATCTTGTAGGCTACATTTAAAAAAAATAGAACTATTAACCCTGCCTTCTATGTGTATACATATTTAGAAATGGCGAAATTTATTAGAAAAAACAGTGAACTGTTTATTAGTCCTGTACCCACTTCTTTAAGACCGTAAGGATATAAGAACATATAATTAACCCTTCCGCAAAGTATACTAAGCATCTATCAGAATAGTCCGTATTATAATGCAATAAAAAAATCACAATAAACTACCCGAGTACCTAAGAAGTGAGGCAAATTACATAACTTTCACTAGAAAAACTAAAAGTATTACTAATTGATAAAAATGCTATTATAATTTAATGAATTTTATATTGACAAACTTATGTAGTTGTATTTAATTAAATGAGTTTATTAGGTTATTTTAAATCTTTGACGAAGACATGATGGATAATTGACATCTTATTTTAATCTAAACTGTATTTTTTTATATTATATTTTGTAATGTATAAAATAATGTAAATTGAAAAGTAGCGACCAAGTGGAATACCCCTACGGGGTGTCATGGCAATAACTACTTACCTAATGGAATAAATAAATAAACAATTATTGTCAAATTGTACGCCTCCGTCAACGAAGGTAACGCCTTGTAAGGACAGGTATAATAACAATAAAATTAGTGATTGTTTCGTGGCGACTGCGACTGCCGACTATAGAAAGCACTTAGACTGTGGCCTTTGGAATTCAAATCACACATTGTCGGAGGCTAATGGCTGGCCTCGGCGGCTCCCTTGTTTTTTGATTCGATCGCTCGATCGTTTTCGGAATGAAACAACAGATGTTTTATATTAGTCCTCCTATATTCTGCTGGGAACAATTCCTAGACGGAAAAGGTAGTAAGGCCGTAATGGCCTAATGCGGGTTGGGGACGTGATATTTAATCGCCGATAAAAGTTGACAATGTCTTAAAAAGGTACGTAATGCCAAACTGTGTTGCACCTATCTGCCCCCGTAGCACGCTACGCACGATAGTCGCGATGCGCGTGATAAAATTGAAATAAGCACGCGCTATTGGCTATCTAAATTAGATCTGGGGCTTACCATAACCTTTCCAAAAACAATCTTAATTCAATGTAAGCTTAAAGTAAGCTTATTATAATATTACTCATATTCGTACCGTGACAAACCTGTCAACCAAGGAATGTATTATTTATTGCTAAAGTAATTGAAAGAATGAATGATTTCCCAATATTGTCTATTCCTTACTAAAAATAGGAAAAAAATAATATATGAACAATCCCTGCCCCAGAATGTTTACTTGTTTTATTCATCTCTTCCTGTGGAAAGCTATCTCCTCCCCACCATTCAGTGTTTGAAATGTTGTCGTTTTGGGCATGTCAAAGCTCAATGCCGGTCTAAACCCCGGTGTTATAAATGCGCATAACTCCATTCAGGGGAATCCTGTAATGCTTCTACCCCAACATGCCTGTATTGTTCATGTATTGTTACATCCATCCAATGACAAAAATTGCCCTGAATTTTCCCGTCAAAAATCAATAAAATTGGTAATGTCCCAAGAGAACATGTCCTACTTAGAAGCCACTGCCCGCTTCCCAGCCGTCAGGCGCTCATTTGCTGATGTGGCATGTGGATCCACACAACTGTCATATGTCTCACTATCTTCTACACAATCCTCTTCCTTCCCAGTCACCACTTCACACAAAAAAACTGTCACAATAAATAATAAGCCAAAGTTCCACCAGCAAACCTCAGGCTATGATAAATAAGCCCATAGGGATATAATTGCAACTCCCCCTCTTCCCTAAATGGTTCTGCTTTGCTACATAACACTAATACATTCGATAACAATGACAACTTTCTTAACTTACTAGTCTCTACTCTTCTAAATATTCTGTCCCGCTTTGATGACATTGATTTACCTTAACAAATATATTTCTTTCACATTCTGTCAAAAAATTTTATATAACGCCATAATTCGTGACTTTGACTACGGCTTAATTTTATTAGAACCTTGTCACAAAATTGCTCTTAAAATGTGGGACAAAATTCAATTAAAGTGTCTCCATATCATTATCGGCGCTATGAAGTCTTCACCTATAAATGCTCTCCAGGTTGAGTGTGTGGAACCCCCTCTCTTCCTGAGAAGGCAGCTTCTTGCGTATGGATTCATTTACAAAGTTGCGCAACTATCCCCTCATCCTCTCCTATCTAAACTCCACAAACTGTCTGATCTGACTAGGACTTTAGTCAAAGATATTCCTTTCATTCTTAAAGGTTATAAAAAAATTATTAGTATTAATTCTCCTATCTTCCAAACTGATAAAAATCCCCTTTTTTCTTGTCTCTATGACGCAATAATATATAAACCTAAAAGAATCTTGGATTTTGGTATTTACAAAGTCTTTCCTGCGGCGGACAGGCAGTTTAATATAGCCCTAACTAAAGACTGGCAAGACTGGTTGACTATTTACATCTGTGTAAATAGTCAAAAGCTAGACGAAAAAAATTGGCAAAATTCTACAAGAGAAGCTAGAAACGTCTAGAAGCTAGAAGCGTCTGCGCTTCTAAGCTGGCTGATGATGGTTGTGTGGGTGCGGCTGTATGGATCCCTAAGTTCGAAATAATTTCGAATTGTAAATATCCACCTCACGGATCAATATTCACAGGTTAATCTACAGCCCTGCTCGAAGCCCTCAGCTATATTGAATCTCACAAATTAAACAAAAGCATAATTTTATCAGACTCAAAAAACTGTTTGCAGGCTATTTTGTCAAACCAATTTGTTGCTAAAACAAAATACCATAATATCCTAAAGATCACGGAAGTTTTACACCATTGTCATCCTAACAATTTACAAGTTGTGTTAGCGTGTGTACCTGGTCACTGTGGGATCCAAGGTAACGAAACTGCAGACATGTTGGCGAAAAATGCTATCCAAACAGGTTGTCTCATTCATTACAAGACTTACATTTATGACCTCCTGCCTGTAGCTGCCAATGATATGTTTTCAATTTGATTTTGGTTTTCAAGGTTGCCAATGTTATGAGCGCAGAGTGGAGCAAAAGTAAACTCACTAAGGGCAAATATTTCGCCGACATCCAAACAAGTATCCCCAAAAAGCCTTGGTTCTTTTTTTTCGCCACAAAGGATTCAGCCGCCCTACCAGAACGTGTTCTATTTATGATAGTATTCCACCTTCTATTCCTCGCCCCGTAAATTTCAAGTTTCTGTTACATGTTTTTACAAATACCCTCTTAGAATTAGTAACTGATTTTATTAATACTAACAAACTTAAATTATAAAACTTATTTATTTAAAAATTTCTAAAGATGATGGTATATCGTGTTGCTCTGTATTGTTCCAGAAGCCGGAATAGACTAAAGAGCAGTGTTCATTAATTAAACATCTAAAGAACGAAATGTAACTCCCATGACTGATGACATTGGCAAAATTCTACAAGAGAAGCTAGAAACTTAAAAATAGAATAGAACTGTTAGTTTCGCCAAGTAGCATATAGATGGCGCTGTCATAATTTTACAAAATAAACATAGTGTATTTTTATTTAACGAGAAATTATTTCCTATGTGCTATTAAAAAAAATAAACAAAATATTGAAGAGATATATTATGTCAATAAATAATTTCAACTTAACTTTTATTTATTACAAATCAATATTAAGAAAATAAAACTAAAAATAATATTGTTTCCATTGCATCCGTGCAGCTATTTTAAGTTTGTTAAATTTGACATAAGAGCAATATTACTTTAATATTATAGTCGCGTCATAGTACGAATTGAGTGAATGAATAGTCGCAAAGCCGTCATAGTTTTAATATTACAATAAGCTTACTTTAAGCGCGTTATGGTATGAAAAGTCAATGTAAGGTTATAGTAATATTGGTTTAAGAGGTTGTGGTAGCCCCCCTGATTGAGACAGGCAATAGCGCGCGCTTATTTCAATTTCATCGCGCGTGTCGCGACTATCATGCGTAGCCACACTACGGGAGCTGGTACTCATATATACGAATGTGTTACAATTACATAAACATTAGTGAATGTGTCGCATTAGAGTATGAGAATGTTTCCCAGCAAGATGTATACAAATTATGTTCGACTAGGTAAATATTTCGCTTTTGCCTGAGCTTTTGCACGAGTACAGTACGTACACGAATACGTACGTACGAGTACGTAGTGCACGGTTACTGGGTACAAATTGTCTGATATTGTATTTGATGTGTCGTAGCAAAAACCATAAATATCATTCTAACTCAACATTCTGAGTAAAATAAATCCTGTTTATGGAGAGGCCTGTGTTCGGCAATGGACCATTTATAATTAACTATTTTTTTGTTTTACGTATACTCTCCCTGCATGTACTCTCAAATTCGCGCAGTTTTTATTGAACGAGTATATAGGTAGGGAGTGAATCAAGTAATTGGGCAATGTAGAGACAGTGTTTGTAATAGAGCAACAAGCAAAGTAATTAAAGTCAGGGTGGGGTGCGTTGTTTGGCCCTGCTTCTAATTAATTGCCTCTCAATCATTATAATTAGTGTAATGAAATGACGCTGTTTTATATATTTATTTCCTATTCCTATTTGCATCAGGTAATTTTGAAACTATTCTTAAAGAAATGCTTAAAAAAAAAAGAGAAAGAATAGAGTAGTATTTGCTTTGTCAATCGAGAGCGGTGGTAGCCCAGTGGGGGAACAGTTGCTTCGAATCCCTGTGGTAGTATGTATCTATGAATTTGATTTCTTGATTGATGTTTAGCGACAGCACCTCTCGCTAACAAAGAAGGAAAACATCCTGATGAAACCGGGATATCGAAAAAGGTCCTAGCTCTTGGAAAACGTATGAAGCCTCGTATTGGGCCTGTGGCGATGACCATGGCTTAAACGCTCTGTGTAGAGGAGACCCGTGTGCAGCAGTTGGACGTATAACGTGTTGATGATGATAATATAGATCTTTTGTAAAAATATGCATAAATTTTCTACGGAGGCAAGAAAGGAAAGTAAGGACTAAAATATTTTGCTTGTGGGTGTTATATTATAACGTTCAAGCAACGGTAAGAGCAATGCGACGATTACAAAGGTATATAAACAAGTACGTAAAAGAAAGAGACGATATGAATGTTTGGCAGTCATCATACACACATTAGAACAAGCCTGGTCGTGTCCATCCCTTTCAGAGTTCAAGTAGTTTTCTTATCTGAAAATAATGCAAGCCACATTCGATCGATTGTGGCAAATCGTTGACAGTTACCATTTTAAGACATATTTTTACCTACTTACAAGAATACAATGTGCTAAGACAGTCCACTCACGTTCTGACCGCGAAAGGAAACTTTTCAATCCAAAATATTGCACTACTAGGTAGGTACTAGAATTATAAATTTGCATCAATAGAATAGCACTTACAACATCGACCTTTATTTCCATTTTCATTTGATCGACTTCCATGGCGTTATACTCAATGATATGAAAAGTTAAAATAAAGAATATAGTTGCGTTTAGTTTGTGATATTCGACGTATGAACATTTGGCGGCAAAAGTTAAGGAAACGTAGGCAAGGAATGATCCAACGCGCGCGGCCAGTGCGGTGCCGATTCGTCCACTGCCTCGATATTCAATTGAAGGCTGGCTTGGCCGGACAAGCAATAACGGCGAAGCATGCCGGAGGGGAATTAAAGAAATATATAGCCTATTACCGGCCGCGTAATTGGCTAATTTCGCGGCAAATTGTTCGTTTTCATTCGTTGTTCAGACGGAAATGAAAGTTGTTGCCGATTTGACTGCCTTAAAGTACCCGTATGTGCCGTGGGTTACTCTAGGAATGAAAACATGAAAACGTAAATTGAAATCTTTTATGTTAGATTTCAAAAGTCTGGGCCACAATTCCGCCAATTTTAAATCATCTCAGTTTTGTTCCGATAGAATGTCAATGGCAGGATTTTGCACGTTTTGTATTCTACTAAAAGTTAAGAGTAGGGGTCGCCATCGAGCTACCATTCAACTGCAATTGCATTTTTTGGTATTCTGCTGTTCAATAGCGAATCGATATATAATTTGAAGACTAAATTGTTGGCTAAAACAGACAAAAACTATTTTTTTTTATTTTTCCTTTTTTTGTTATGTCCAGTGACGGGACGAATAAGTCATACATACGCCTTATGGTAAGCAACACGCCTGTTATAACGGTTGCAGTGCCACTCAGAGCGTACATCGCAAAGATCTAAGGGGCACTGCCCTACACCCGTCTCCCTGAGACATAAGTTGACAAGTCCCATGTGCCTGTAATTTCACCAGCAACCTCGGGGCGCGTGTACACGCTAAAAAAATCGACGTGTGTGCTACAGAAAAGATGAGAATTGTCTTGTACACGACAAGAACTTTGTCGGATCTAGCCACGAAAACATGTCGTGTCTGTTGCAGACGAGAAAATGATGAGTGTGTACACGATACGAATGCTTTCGGACATACGTGTGTAGGGTAAAATGTGTCAGTGCATTACGAGTCTTTCAGGTAGCTGTCGTTTTACTACCGGCTGTGGGAAGAAATATGTTGTTGCATATGTTGACAACTAAGCAACACCCGTCCACGTGTATAAACTTTCGTTTACTGACAATGCACCTCACCCTACCTCATACAACAGCGGCAGAGCGCATCGTGTCGGGGGTAAACAAGATTTTTTTTCTTATCCGGCGCCGAGGCAGTGTACACAGATCGTTTGTAGAAACGACACGAATTCTTGCATAGAGTCAGCGACTTTTCAAAGCGTGGATACGCGCCTTTACCCTTCAAAACCGGAACGCAGTAATGCTAACTAATATTACTGCTTGGCATCAGAAATGGGTAAAGTGGCAGTACTTCCATGGCGGAACTCTTTCACAAGGGGCTCTACAGCTGCAGAAAAAGATGTGCATAGTTATTCCTATTGTAGGTTTAGTCAGGCAACATCGATCGTTACCGATTAAATTAATTAATGAATGCCATCACTGCCGTACTATTGAGATTCTACCAGATTTTAGCAGAATAACACGTATATCATAATTGGAGTACGATCTCAGTGGAGTCTGAATGGAATCACAATGACTAGTAGTTTGAAGAAAATCAGCAGACTTAGGACCCAGTTCAGTGAATTTAATACAGTATTTAGATATTCGGTAGAAATGTAAGTATGAACGAATAATGTCTGTAAGTATTCAATGTAGGTAGTAATCTCGAAAGTTAAATTACCTTAATGGCTGAACGGGATGAGAAACCAAATTTTATAAATAGCTTCGCGTGTGGGAATAAGTTTTTTGGGATTAATTAAGACGGTAAAGTAATGTTCCTATTTCACATCGTAAGACGTAATTAGCGATGGGCGAGTCGAGTTATTTAACTCGAGTTACTGCCACAACGAGTCAACTCGAGCTACTTTTATATGAACTCGGTTCGGTACCCGCCACCGCCCGAGGTGAATACTTCGTTTATACAGCGCATCGACTATTCGTTCCCACTCGGCGGTCGGTTCCGCGACCTTCGGAGCACGCTCGAGTCGCGAGCGATGGGCGAGTCGAGTTATTTATTTCGGTTAAGTCGAGTTACTGCCAGCAGTCTACTCGAGCTAGCTCGGTTCGGTTTCCGAATTCAGCGCATCGGCTACTCGTTCTCACTCAGTCGGTTTGGCGATCTTCGGAGCACACTCGGGTTGGTTTCGGCGGATTCGAATTCTACTCGCGACTCGTGGTTGCTCTGTCAGACACCGAGTCGAGTTAACTCGAGCTAGCTGTCACGTCAACTCGAGTAACTCGAGTTGAAAAAATATAACTTGTTCCATCGTTAGACGTAATTATATGTTTGTTCTACTGTGAACGAAATGGACTCCTGTTCTGTAAGCTGAGTAGGTACCGTGCATCTGGTCCGTAGCTGCGCTAGTCCTGAACACAAGGTCCCCTGTTCACACCGTTCAGAATTAAGCCATAAACAATTCCTAAGCAATCCATGGGACGGGAGCTCAAGTATCCAATCTTACAAATGGGGTAGTGGTGACGTATGTACCTACATACCCACAGTGTGTACATGGCGACCATTGCCGATGACGCGCATCGAAAGTCACGGTGAATGTAGCAAACTGTCCCCACACGCAAATAGAATACAGACAAAGAGTTCTAAACCTCGTAAGTGATACTTGCTTAACATAATCAATAATATTATTATGTAGTTAGAGTACAAAGAATGAATAAAAGGCAAAACGAGAACTTTCTATCACCAATAACAAATTTATTTTTGCTTCTTCCGTAAACGTTTTATTGTCAGCAAAGTAGTCTGATATAATATGAGGATTCGTTGATGTTTTAGCAGCCCTTTATTAGGGTTATCAAAATGAGGTCAACAGCTCTAGAGTGGGTAGACACAGAATGCAACAGGAAACACGAAACAGTCACAATCAATATTTGTAACAATGTAAGCCCGCCGTTGAGCTGATTTTGCCCAAATAGAAGGGGTACTACGATCCCTAGTCATTGATCGGGGCGTTCCTCGAGGCTGCGTGACAATTAATCATCCATCCTACAAGTATAGGTACGTAGGTGCAACCAATTAACTATATGAACAAAGAAAGCGTACTCACCCGCCTGATCGACTTGAGCCAATCCAGCAACATTGTCATTGTCTGCTATATGAAAGCCACAATCGTCTTCAAAACCTTCCATACCTTACATTTAGTCATCGCGACAAAGATATTGGAAACCGTAACCAATATTCTATCACTAGTCGATTTTATTAACCGTGAAATATTTTAACACGACTAAATGTAAATTACTATCGGTCGCACAAACTCACAAGGCAGGGCGTGGCTTCTCATCTTGGTCGGGTTATAAAATATTGAGTGTGAAGTAAATATTTGTTGTGATGATAGTCGAGCTCCATTACGCATGCGATAATTTACAGGCGGGCGGTCAGCCGCCATTTCAATGCAGCGCTTTTCGAGCGAAACGAAAAGGCAAAGCTCTTAAAAGGGAGCTATATTTTTATCTCCTCGTTGAAGATAATTCCCATATAAGCTTACACTTAATTGGAAGCTTAAAGCATATACAATTTCGATTGTTTGTGCTAACTACACTTCGATTCGAGTATTTATAAAGTGTTGTTAAGAATTTTAGTTCTACTTACATGGTTTAGATATCAAAATATGTGTTACATAATATCGCTTATTTCATCAAAGCAATTCAAATAACCGGGTCGAATAAAATTAGAATATGGCTAACGCGAGCCTGCGCTCATGTACTCGCTTGAATGCGCGTATTTCTACATTCGAATATTCCCGCCACCTTAACAATCGGTAAAACAGTTTGACAGTTCATCTTATGGGGAATTCGAAGTGTCACTTTTCGAGACAAAGACGATTTTGTAATCGATAGTGAAACGAGAAATAAAAACCTTCAATTAAGTGTTTTTGAAACTTTATCTTTATTCGTAAGGAAGCAGAAATGTTCCCCGAAACGCAATTATAACAACCACATATCTCATCCATAACTTGACGCTCACAAAATGGACAATGGTACGTAACTCCGTACTTTTATTTGTTCCATCGTTTGTCTACATAGACACACGATATAATAATATTATTTTTCCGTTGTTTTATACTCAGTTTTTATTATTTTATCAATGGCCTACTTGGCTATCTGCCCATATCTTGTTAAATTTTTACATGAATGTTAATTAATTCATTGCGTATTATTAAATAAATAAACATAATTCATAGTAATACGTTTTTTGTTTGTTACTACCCTTTTATTTTAATTCTTTTTGTCTTTGACTTTGACTCTTTAGCGCAAGATGACGATGATTATTAATATTCTTCTTAATTATTTGTAAAACATATTGTAATTTATAATAAATTATAAAGTTTTTGAAATTACATATAATAGAACGTAAGAGGACAATACAATACGTGGCATGTCGATCGAGTTACGTGTACGGAACACATCAACGGCATCACGTCACGATTATCCTAATGTAGAATGAAATTATGACAAAATAATATTCAACCCTAGTTAGTAATTAAAGGTAAGATATAGCTAAGAATGTTTTGCTTTTAATTACTTTGAGACGTACGGCAATAACAAACTGTGTGATCCGATACACGATTAACATAATCTAAATGATCGACATAATCATTTGTGTGTGTGGCATGCGATTAGCAAACAGTTTCTACGCATTTTTTCATATTTTTGCAGATTTCAAAACCCGTAAACAAGTGAGCGTCGATCAGATGAGTGGTCTGCTGGAATTCCTGCAGAAGCATCCTGACCTGGCGAGGGGGTTGGTGCGGGGCCGGCGGGGCAAGTTCCACTCGCTCGATCTGTGGAACCGATGCGCAAAGAAACTGAATCCTATCAAAGATGGCGCTTTTAAAGATGGGAAAGGTTGGTCAAAGGTAACATATTTTGCATTTTGGTATTTCGTTTAGAATTCATAGGCACTTCTGTGTATAAGTTGTTAAGCATTTGCTCAAACAGCCAAATACACTTTACAGGGTGTTTCAAGTAGATTTTTAACGGGACTTTAATTTCTCATTGATAATGATAAGGTCTATTTCCAAAACTGCCTCAGAGGCCGAACGGTTATCATTCTGGTCTGTGGTTATCACGCTGGTCTGCCATGCAGAGCTTTCGGGTTCGATTTCCGGGCGAGATATATTTGTACGGCCTACGGTTATTTCTCTCGTGAATTTGGATGTAGTTTGGTTGTCTATGTATGTCGATGGCACCCTTGATACAGACTTTCCCAATTGCGGGGCCATGAGTGTCTGCGTTATTGTATCGTATATATAGTATATATATTTTCCACAAATAATATTTGTATAATTTCTCTTTTTTTTATTAAAGAACATGATTTTATAACGTTCGATGTATGGAAATATGTAAACAAATGTAGCATATTAATTTTCGTCTGCTGCTGAACATTGTATCGCATTGAAACTCGCAATTTTGCAAACTTGCAATTTAAATATTATACAATGCATTGTTTTAAAATTAAATATGGAAAAATATGTACTTCATGTAAACTACAGTTTTAGTGTGTAGACTAAAGAGTTGTTCAGAAAGTAATTCAAAATTCTGGCCAATTCTTAAATGTGAAAGAAATTGGAGCCGAAAGGTCCTGATAAGGGCTTTTTAGCAGTAGAGCTCCTTGTAAAAGAGTTCATCTAGGGCAGTAGTGCCATCGTATCTGCTTTTACCACCAAGTAAAGCGGTCCGGTTTTGAAGGGCAGGGGTGACGTGAAACTACAGGCACATGGAACTTGCCAATTTTCTTGCTTGCTTGCTTCGGGTGAGGCGCGCAGCGGCAGGCAGACCTCAGATCGTATTAAAACTCCGAGTGGCTCTGCAACTGTTTTGGGTAGGCGTGTTACTTACCACCAAGCGCAGGATTTATTCGTCCCCTCATTTAGTATAATAAAAAAGATCAACTGTTGAAGATTGAAAGTTGTCGCTAAGGCCAAAGTTAAGAAAAAAGGCGCTATGGAACGTCGACGTGTTATAAAACACAGGCGGAGAAGCGCGCACAAAAATCTATCTTTATCGACAGTTTTTATAGTTTAAATAATGTAATTAAACATTTATGGATTCAAAAGTAAAAAAACTACTTTGTCCAGGGCCAGTGCTATGGAAGAGTAAAAGTTTTTATTTCATTTTTTCTTCTTATAATCGAGCAATCCCCGAACTTTGTTTGATTGTCGGGTGTTTCTTCACAATAAGAAGGGAAAGTCTAATCCTTTTGCGTTTCAAATATAGTGTGTTTGAAAGTATAATAATTTATTTTATAAAGCAGCGTGCAGTAAAATAACATGCAGTTTTTTATTAATTTATTTTCAGTCTTTTGAATAAAATGTCCACAGTACTGGTGCGACTGGAAATACCGGGTCCGAAGAAAGGCGTTGGAGCTAAAAGCTGCCAAAGACAACCACTTGCCGCCCCCTGAGAACATCGTACCTCTCTCGCCGATGGAGGACTGCATCTTGGGTTTAATTGGAGACGGGGCAGTGGATTCGGTGGTCATCAAGTCGGATCCTCTTGCTGAGGAAGTAAGTGTCAGGTCGATGTATTAGAGATTCGATGAAACAATTTAGTCCAGCACTTTCCATAAACAAAAACTCCTAGGAAATGAAATCGTGCTGCATACTATATTTGACTTTCGATAGAATCACATTAATGAGATTGTTGATATTTCAGGATATTGGAGAAGAAACAGATGCGAATGAAAACAACGAAAGTGGTTCGTCAGTGAATCTGTATTACGGTATGTTCCCTGCCGTCGTTTCCATATATTATTTGCCTTTTCGTACTCGTATAACTACGTCCCCCTAGAATAAACGAGCAATATTTTTGCCCATTTTTTTATCAGGCTATAATGTTGTTCTATTACTTACTCTTCCTAAATTTTTTTTACACCAAAAAGGTAAGTAATCTATTTTGTTGTAACTTAAATTTTTTTGAAATGAAAAACATTAATATAATAACACACCTATGTTACGCGTAAGCCTCTTTAGGTTTAATTAACAATCGTATGGAGCGTTTTTGTAAAAGTACCTTGCACGTTTATTCTTGTATTTATTTTATCTCACGTTTGGGTATTGTCTTAATAAGCACGTAAAAGTATTATTTTCTGTAACAGCCTTTACGCTTTTAAAATTTACAAGATTGTAAATTTTTAGTGTGATACGTTTGTCGGTCTTTTTTATAATGCCAAATAACGGGACGAACAAGTCGTGCGCCTGGTGGTGGTGATCTGAGGGGCACTGAGACATAAGTCAACAAGTCCCATGTGCCTGTAATTTCACCAGCACCCTTACCGTTCTAAACCTCAACGCAGTAATTCTCACATTACTGCTTGGCGGCAGAAGAAGGTAAGGTGGCAGTACTTGCCTGGACGAACTCTTTCGCAAGGAGCTCCACTGTCTCTTATCGTTTTTACACAAAAAATAGCGCAAAGTTCTTTGAAACTTTTGTGCAAAATTTAAATAAATTTTATAAGAATAAAAAAATAATGTGGTTTTCTCACATTTTCTTGAAAATCTTCTTGGTTAAAACTTCGTATTACATTTTTATTTATTTCCATCGTTTTCGACATACATTTTTCGAAATAAATCAATCAGGTGCGGAATTATTAAAGTTTTAGGTTTTTTATTTTTCCTGTAAAAGTATGTGTTTTGATCATTTTGATAATGTATTAATCTTTGTGGGATGACTTTTTCATTTCAGTCAGCCGTAACCGTGAGGCCTGTAGGGCCTGTGGCCCGACGAAACCATCCAAATCGGTGGTTTGTTTGCATCAAAGAAATTTCCTAATTTGGACCAGAAAAAACACGTTCATTTTTAATAAAATTAATATTTTACATTGAAAAACAAAAATCTATTTGATACTATACTTATATTTTCTATCATCGATGGGGTAGGCAGACAATACGGACTTTGCTTCGCTTCAATCTTTCCATAGACTCTCGTGTTTTTTAAGCACATTCTCATGGAAGACTGCAGTGCTTCAAGCCAGGTCTCGAAATTATCAAGGTGTTTATTTTATTTGTTAATTATTTGTTAATTATCATGATAATTATAGGATATTGATACGATAACCTTCCGCAGATGTATACCTTTATCTCTTTGAGTTTTATTTATAAATGACATACATTGAGTAAATGACCACTCAGTAGGAGCATGAGGAAACGGCCTCGAAATTATTAGCTTGGGTCAGGGACAGTTTTGATGTATGTACGTACACCTTAGAGGATGGAAAAAAATAAAATAAACACGAAGGAAATTATTTGAGAAAACGATTTGATTTGTGACTTTTTTAGGATTGACATTTGACACATTTGGATATAATACACACCATGTGTTTGCGCCTTCGAGGTGGAAAAAAATAAATAAAGGAAGTTTGCAGCGGCAGCATTTTAATGTTCCAATTAATTTTATAAATATCAAGATAACTATCCAGCCACGTTTGTCAAGACAATTATCACTTAGAACCTTCTATCAATACTCAGGGCTAAAATTAGTAAACTATAAAATTTGTAATTGTAAACTGTCATTTTTTTTCAAATGCAAAATGTTCAAGTTTATTGTAAAACCCATTATGACCCTTGTTGAAAAGACTGCACCGCGGCCTCAAGTACCCGAACAACCATGTTCACTTGCGCTCGTTCGGCAGCGGAGGCAAAGCCGCCGCCGAGGGGCCGCAAGCGCCGACGCGAGCCCGAGGCGCCGCAGCCGGCGGGCAGCGCGCCCGGCGCTGCTCCGGGACGGGCCCAGCGGCTGCGGGCCAGCGCCGGCGAGGCTGCTGATTCTGGTGGGGGTTAACAAGCATGCATTTACGATCTCGGCGTATTCGACTCCTCATTGCAATCTTTTGCTTTCAGACCAGGACGAAGAGGTCGCTGAGCTGATCCGACTCGAAAAAGAGAAGGTGGAGAACTCCAAAAGAATGACAGAGACGATGCACACCATCGCTTCAGAGTTAACTCGAATAGCCGACGTCATGACGCACATCAGAGACGTCTTGTTCAATAACAGGGTCAACGTGTCATAAACATTTTCTTGATTTTAATTTAACAGATAAGTACACTTATTTAGCTTACTGAATAACCTAGTCAATTTTTTTTAATCAGCATTATGTGGGTTTTACGAGTACAATGTAAGCAACGTAATATAGAAAGTGGGTCGGTTTTGTATCTCCTCGTTTTTATTTTTCGAATGCAGCGTCATTACAATTGCAAAACGATTTGTATAATAGCTACAAGATTATGTACGTTACCGAAAGTGTTCAAAGTAAGCCTTTCTGTAAAATACCTAGACAGTACGTGTCTATTCTTGTCATCGAGTACATAACCGGAAATGATGATTCGAAGAACGTTGATTCTTGTCTACATCTGATATAACTAAGTTATCATCTGATTTATATCTTGGTATTTTGTAAAAAATTAGGTGAGGAATCTTTTACAAATGCTTTGTATATATGTATATATCATACCATGGAAGTTGGGCAGTTTTTATTCTGACTGTTTTCAATACAATGTACGTGACGTTTAAATACAAGTATTATCATTATGTGCTGTAACGTTATAAAAATTGTCGCGGACATTGTCTTCATTGCGACAATTTGTCATATTGCTCAGCAACCGGAAATATATAAAACTAAAATAATTCCACCATTGTTCCCACATCCAATCGCAAAACAGGTGCATACGGTTCATACTATACAGTGTAATATGACAGTTTTGATGTATAAACACGAAGGAAAATCTTTGAGAAAACGATTTGATTTGGGACTTTTTTGGGATTGACATTTGACACATTTGGATACAGTATATAATTACCATCATTGCATGCTATACTCTATTCAACTAAAATGAAACGTTAGCTGTAAAAATAATCCTCCCCAGCGGGGAACCGGACCCCGGTCTATAGTACCTAGAATTGTAGTTAGTGGTCCAAAATTTCGTAAAGAAACTAGCTGTTGATGAACTTGACGTACTAATGAAAGACATAACCTGTAATCGTGGCTCCTTAGTTCATTTACATCAATACAGTGACTAGTCCCAGTCCCGGGGCTAGCTAATGCTTGTACAACATTGGGATCGTACAATTATTTTTTATGCTAGTACAGCGCTGACGCGCCACGGAATCAATCGGTTGCTAATTTTTTATGCTACTGGTCTCCCGCCGGTTTGCCGCATCTCCCGTGTCAGCACCACGGGTTTTTTAAGTTTATCTGTAGTGCCAACATATGTGATCACCATACTTTTTTGCATGACACGTACGTATTTTTTATTCTAGTAGTTACCATACGCGCGGCTAATTGGGGTAATGTAAACGACTTCGTGCAAGCGTTTGCGCCGGTTTCACTGCCACCGGACACTGTACCGATGTAAAGCAAATTTGGGTATCGTGAAATAGTGTTCATTCATAGCCTCTGCTGTGCTCTGGATGCTACGCTTGAACATGGAGTCATCAGTCCACGACGTCTTCACACAACACTGTTCTTTAAACGCTTAATCTAAGAACCATGCAATATTTTTTTGTTATTAAGTACTCGATGACAGCCAGTTTTAGCATCTAATAAAACTTTTAAATTTATTACAAGTATAATAGCGGGATTTTTTGTTAACTGTTGTAATAATTGAATAAGAATACTCGTTTATAACGAAAAGATGTTCTGCTAACTATTCCCAAGGTCCCTTATTATAAGTAATCTCAATGGAACGTGTCGTGTTTTATTTAACTAAGTTCAAAGGGTTCAATCGATAAACGTGCTCACATGTTCTGGATGATTCGCATTCGTCGCGTACTACTTCGAAGTGAATGAATAATTGTGATTATCGATTACAAAAATCACTTATTTATTTACCTAACGTATGTACAAAATTAGTGCCAGTGAAAATGAAAGCTGTGATAATTCTACTACCTCTCCTGCTACTAATGGTAGTCAGGTATGTCTTTGTAAATTATTTTATTGCCTAACTAGACTCTCATTTCAACAAAAGACTATTCACTTATTAATTTTAAAGTTTCTATCTATTACATCATTCTCTTCTAGCCATCACTATATGTTCATCACTATGGTTTTGAAACTCCATGGAGTGTTTCTTACCTCGTTGGTGATACTTTTGAACTTGACTTGGCAAATAAACATTTTCCCGTCGAACATTTATTTAGATCGCCTTTCATTTCCTGTAAAGCCTTTCATGTTCCAAGGTATTTGTTTTTCATATTATAACAATTTTCATGTATAGAAATAATGAAATTAATTGAATGTTTATTTGACGTGTCTCAGTGCCAATGGAAGAATCGCGAGCGATAATGTGACAGACGTTGTGACCAATGCTATTAGCGATGTAAAATCGAATTCTGACGAACAAATTCATATAGATTTACCTGTCCGTACCACGGAGGTGCCTGCAAACCAAACGGACTTCTTGAATGTTATTATGACCACGATCGATTTAGTACAATGCGGAAACGGTTCAGAAATAACAGACAATACAATAGATTCTAAAGAGAGCGAACCTTGTGTACCTGAAGCGAAAGCAGATAACGGCACGGCGTTAATACTGACTCCGTATTTGAAAGAAAATCGCACATTAGACGCGCGTAATGCTAGTAGAGTCAATCCAGAAATTTTCATGGGAATGGAAAGCTATTCAGGGTTTATAACCGTGAATGAAACGTACAACTCGAATATTTTCTTCTGGTATTTCCCCGTGGAGATGAAGCCGGTGAACGAAACGCCGTGGCTTATTTGGTTGCAAGGAGGGCCTGGAGCGTCGAGTATGACAGGATTGTTCGACGAGATAGGACCGTTTTTTGCTGACTCACAAGGACGTTTGAGACGTAAGTAGTCTGTTGACCTTCCCTTGTTTACTTACCTACTTCTATATATTATTTGCTGCTTGCTTGCTTTGATAACGCTTTAAAAAGATAAAGAAAACAATATTGGCACTCTGTTCTTTGAACGATGGCGTAAAAATATCAACCCAAATATGTACGTTCCACTGCTACACACAGATATTCTCTAATTAAGAACAAAATATTACTAATACAAATACACGAGACTACAAAACAACAATATTTCCCAGGCAACCCGTACACGTGGCTCCGCAACCACTCGCTGCTGTTCATCGACAATCCGGTCGGCACAGGCTTCAGCTTCACCAGCCACGAAGACGGATACGTCACCGACATGGAAACAGTGCTGACTTCTTAATAGTTTACCACTTTGAATGCTATCCACCCATGTTGCTTAGACCGATTTCGATATGAGATTTCCGTGGTGCCAATAATTGTTCTAACTGAATATCAAGCGATGTTTACCTTTTATCCCAAAAAAAACATCAACAGGATCATGTTTATAAATTAGTTCACATAGTTCATATTACGAAAAGACAAATTAATCGTATTAGTGGTTAGTTTCAAGTGCACGTAAGCCACGCGCCGAGTCGAAGATCCCAAATGGGAATAGAATGTTGAGTTAGAAGATCATAGTACCTCTAGCACGGAATCTCCTACTTAATATTTTATTATCATTCTCTTTTTGTATTATATTTTGTACACTTGTCATTATTAGCAGATTGGTAGATATACAGACCATATTTGGTTCGCAAATACGAGCGAGTCGTTCTGTGTAACCCTTTAGGTTCTCGGGTTTCTCTCAGAGAAAAGTTTAAGGAGATTGGTATCACGATTGTGGTCTTACAGTAATTATAATAAATTTACTCAAATATTTTGTAAGCCATAAAAGTATACATAATTTAATAAGGAAAGGAGATATTCATAATACTAACCTTAGAACTAAGTCCAAACTAATGGTAATGGTACCACGATTTCGTGTAACTAAGGTAAACGATTCTTTTATGGGGAATTACTTATATACGTTTTTATAATAAGATCCCAGAGCATATATTTTAAAACTTAGGTTCACACGCCAGCACATCAAGCTACACATGGACGTGTATCTGGTTCAGTTGCACTGGAGGCGATTTTCGAACAAAAATGTGTAGTCTGATGTGCCGTTATCCGTACAATTGTCATAATCTTCAATGTTCCAATACGACTTGACTTGACTTCGATGGGCAGTGTTCTGCATAAATGTGTTAACCCACAGACAATCGTAAAATGAGTTACGAATGCAGTCTTATACCTTGTAATGTAAAGTTTAATATTCTTTTCAGTAATATTAAAAAATAAATCGTAGTAATTGTTAAATCAAAAAATTGTTTTCATAAAATCTGATTCGTCTCATAGGTGAATTTCGCAAAAATGTGTTATGTCTGGTTAAACCATAAATGCGAATTACAACATATGTTTTCAATGTGGTTAGAAAGAATTTAGTTTAAGTACGCTTAACACATCAACTTGTTTGAAAAATGTAAATACTTTAAATTTTGTCGATGATATGGACAGACCGGAAAATGATATAGATTCTGAAACTGAGGATTTGGCGATGAGAATAATCCTTTTACTGTCAAAATAAGAATTTGGCTAATGGCGCACCTTTCAAGATATTTATTGCGAAAACTGAAGCTTAATTTGTTTATTTCAATCTGAAAGAAAAGGAATGAAGGCGAATGTGACAAATTATTGCACGAGAATTACTAAAACTAAGAAAACTTTGTATGCTATAAAGCGGATCACAGTGATTCAAAATTCATTCTTGTAACAACTTTATAACCTGTGTATCACATAGAAATAAATGATTTGATGATTTGATTTGATGTGAGTATGACGAAGGTGATGGTAATTGAAAGGGATAAAAGTGGAAAAATGGGGACAAGATTGGTAGCGAGAGGGTACAAAAGGTGAAAGAATTTGTGTAGTTGGCTGGGTAGTATATATATTGTTTTTTATGTAAAGAAGAAGGCAAACTAGCAGACGATCCACTTGATGGGAAGTGGTCATTGTCGCCCAAGGACATTTGCAACATCAGATGAGATGAGATTGCCAGCCTTTGAGAGCCCTGTAAACACGCTTTTTGAAGAACCCTATGTCATAGCGCAAAGAAAATACATCAGGAAGAAGATCATTCCACACTTTGCAGGTTCGAGGAAGAAACGAACGAGATGCCAGGCATCTAAGATGTGGGTATGGGCTCTACTCCTTTGGCGAGAGGTGTGATTATGGAAACGAGACGGTGGCACTAGTTCGAAAAGTTCCTTAGAGCACTCCCCATTGTAAAGACAGCAAAACACGCACAGAGAGCCATCTCTCTATAGATTAAGGGGCTTCATACCGTCTGCGAGTTTGTGACCATCGACAATACGAACAGCCCTACGTTGGATGGAGTCAAGTGGGTCAGTCTGATATTTGGGAGCTCCTGCCAAGAGATGCGAGCAATTTTCCATATGGGGCCGTACTTGTGTTTTATACAACAAAAGTCGGTGACCTGGTGAGAAATACTGCTTCGCTCTATTGAGCACTCCGAGCTTTTTGGAAGTTAGTTTGGCTTTGCTGTCCGAATGACCCCGGAACTGGACTTCGTTCGTGATGTCGAGTCTCAGTATCCCAATACTCTTAGAAATGGTAAGGAGAAAAGGGTAAAAGTGTTCTGGAACTTAGGGGCTATTACAAATGGGTATTTTTTTAGCGGTGAACGCGTGTCTTTGCGGAGTTAAATTTGACAAGATTCTGTCGGCCCCATTCTGAGACCTGCTCCAAAGCAGTCTCGATTTTGGACACAAGTTGTAATCTATTTTGTTTCACTTGCTGGTATATGTTTGTGCGACCTATATAAGAGGCATCACTGGTACAGTCATCCGTATACCAATGAATGTTACTAGTTAATAACATATCATTGATATGCAGGATCAACAAGGTTGGCGATAGCACAGATCCTTGCGGAACGTCGGCGTTAATGAGCATGGTGTCCGAGCACAATCCGTCCACAGCGACTTTTAAGCTCCGCTCAGACGGAAAGCTAGCGATCCAAGTGCACATCCCTTTTGGAAGCCCGTAAGATGGTAGCTTCGATAGAAGTGCCTTGTGCCAGAGCCGATTAAGAACCTTAGCGATGTCTCAGCTCGCGACCATTGCTTCCCTCTCGCACTCGATGGCAGCTGCTCATTGGTGCGTGAGATACACAAGCAGCTCACCAGCACCACGATCGCGGCTATATTAATAAGAGATGGTTAGTGTGATGATATTGAACGGAAAGTAATAGTCGAAAACAGGTAAATGGAGCTCTGTATGCCTTTATGGCTAGCCAAAACGTGTCAAGAAAGTGCGGGTACCAACCTTGATGTACGGTATTCGGCGAGTATTCGGTGTGATAGATGACGTATGAAATTAGGGTAAATGCTATTTAGTATAAGAGCTTTGAGTAGTATGTGCTCTGTTAATGCGTCTTCAAATTAGGCGTTTATAGAACCGCTGCAGCCGCGCCACCACGAAAAAGTAATAAGAGAGCGTCGTGTAGTGAAAGATTATGTGGTCAAGTAGAAAGGACGGATGTTACAGATTTAAACGTGGGAAGAGGTAGACCCTCGACGCACATGTCTCGATTAAATCTCGTAAATGTAAGGAATGTTACGTCGTTACGAGGCTCCTTTTGTACACCCCCGATTGTTACTGGTCAAAGAAGAAGGGCTTTTGATTATTGAAAACAAAACACGTTGACTGACAAAAATAAAACTACTGTTACTTGGTTGAATACATGATCACTATGAAAATGTGATTTCTCAGTGTTTTCAACGATTAAGTGACACTTTATACGTACTTTTCCGTATTTAGCAAAAATGTGTTTGCTAATTAATTTTGTAATAATTTTGTTGATGTATCGAACTTTGCATAAACCATTTTCATTTAATTACTAACCATAAATTTGTTAACTTAAAAAAATAATAAACTGATCGTAACGCTTACTTAATTACAATTCTTTTGATATATAATTGTCCTGTAAAAATGACAAATAGTTGCCAAAAATCTTTAATGCTCAATATCTCGAAACTGTCATTTTGTGGGTTAACTCATTTATGCAGAACAGGGCCCGGATAAAGATGAAGAATGACGACATGACATGGACTCTAGATTCCACACAAATTTGATTCAAATTGTATTACAGCATTTAAGTTTATTTAAAAAGAGCAACCCCTAGAGTATCTTTCTCGTTCTTCTCTGGGAAGTATGTATGCAACGTCTTTGTTAATCTACATGAAATAATGAATAAATGCATTATGAAGTCAGCACAGTGAATGAGCAGTAGCTTTTAGAAGTAGGTAGTAGGGCTCCTTGTAAAAGAGTGCATCCAGGTAAGTACTGCATCTTACCTATTTTTGCCGCCAAGCGGTAATGTCAGCATTACTGTGTTCTTGGGTTTTGAAGGGAAAGGGTGCTGGTGAAGTTACAGGCACATGGGACTTGTTGACTTATGTTTCAGGGTGACGGGCGTAGAGGCAGTGACCCTCAGATCTTAATTTTTTATGTTTGAATGGCACTGTAAGCGTTATGGATAGGAGTGTCACTTACCACCAGGTGCGCGACTTGTTCATCCCGTCACTTGGTTTCATAAAAATGACGTTATCAACTGTAAATTTATTTTACTTGTGGAATAAATGATTTTTGATGTTGAGTTTGCTTTTGTTTTTTTTTCATAATAGTACTCGGCGCATCTGTACGAGGTGGTCCGGCAGTTCCTACAGATGTTCCCCGAGCTGCGCGGGGCGCCGCTCTTCGTGGCCGGCGAGTCGTACGCCGGCAAGTACGCGCCGGCTCTTGCTACAATGATACATCGACACCTCACCGATCAAGATGGGAATATCAATCTACAGGTGTGTAATGTACTATACCACATCACCTATAACATTGTTTTACTTTTTTCCTGAATATTTTGTTTTTTATTATGTATAAATATTTATATTTCGAGTTCTTAGGTTTTCGCGATTGTTACACATAGGAAAAAGGAAACTATTTTTCCGGATTTAAACCGCGTATACTTGTTTTTTCAAACAACCAACGTTTCGGGCCCTTTACAGGTCCCATAGTCACGGTTGACTGGGGAAAAATAGTTTCATTTCCAATATTTATATTGTTTTTTGCTATTGTGTAGGCTTTCATTTCGTTGATAACTTCGTATAAGTACGCTTCAGGGTGTGCTGGTGGGCAACGGGTACGTCGAGCCGGCGATGATAACGCAGATGCTGACGCCGTACTACTACTTCGGACTGCTTCAGGCCGACCAGATCGAAATAGTGAAGCCGCTGCTCACGGCCTTCCAGAATGACATCGCTGCTAATAACAGTGCTGCTGCGAAAACTGTGAGTTCATATTTTTTTGTTTGACTGCGTCTGAGATTAGAATTTGAACCATATTAAATAGATTCGTGCATAACTTTAATGCGGTTTGCCGAAATAAACGCGATGCGTCTTTTTTTCGGATATTATTTAGTTTATTGTGTTGCCAAAGAGTAACTTTACTTGTTGTTTTTAGTTTAATCTTAGCGAAATAATATGAAGTCAACATTGACTTACAAATAAAGCCAAGTAGAAATTGAAAATCTGTACGATCTGACGCGGAGCACATAGTGCCGAACATTATAGGAATTCCGACGAAACTTATTATCACACTTCCTATAGTTATACTCAGCATATTTGCAGTATTCAAAAATTTGGAACTAACTAAATTCGCTCGGCCCGCTTCGAGGATTCGCTTCATAATAGTTCTCGTTTGTAATAAATAATAATATAGGATGATTTCAATTCTAGAAATGGATCGACCTAGTGACCGTTCTTATGATTCTGACGCACCAGAAGCACGTATACAACTTTCTGCAAGACGAAATCCCGATCGGTCGATACGTGCGGTTCCTCAACACGACCGAAGTCAAAAGGGCGCTGCACGTGGGAGACATAAAGTTCGGTTTCGTGAATATGACCGTTAATAGCAAACTGAACGCGGACTTTTTGAGCAGCGCCAAGCCGCTGTACGAGGAGCTGCTGGACAAGTACCGGGTGCTGCTTTACTGGTGAGCGTTTTTCTCGCAACCGCCGACCGACGACGTTTCGGCTCCGCGGCCCTGACCGACAAGCGAGCGTTTCCCCAGCGGCCAGCTGGACCAGATGCTGCCGTGCGCGCTGACGTCGGAGAGCTACCGCGCGTGGCGCTGGCGCGAGGCGCGCGCCTTCGCGCTGGCCGAGCGGCGGCCGGTGCTGTGCGGCGAGCGCCTGGCGGGGTGAGTGCCGCGCGGCGAGGGCGCTGCAGCAGCCCGCAGCTGTCGCCGACCGCCCGCAGGTACGCGCGCGCCGGCGGCCGCCTCAGCGAGGTGCTGGTGCGCGGCGCGGGCCACCTGGCGGCGCGCGACGCGCCCGCGCCCGTGCAGGCGCTGGTGGCGCGCTGGACGCACGCGCAGCCGCTGGCCGCGCCCGCGCCGCTGCTGTCCGCCGCCTTCCTGCACGAGTTCGTCCGCAACCACTCCGCCCTGCACTACCTGTGACCGCGAACGCGAGCCCTCGCTTCGTGCCGCGACGGGTCTTTCGCCCGATGCCGGCACTCTCATTCGAGGGCCCGGACTCGTGCCGTGGCGCTCGCGCTTCCGAGAAATTCTCCTAGAGTTAGTGTCTTAACATTTCAACATTTCGTTACATATCGTTTGGCGCGAACCCGCGCCGGCCTCCGACGCGGGGCTGGCCCTTCCCCGGGCGCGCCCGGAGCGACGTTGCCGACGCGCACCTCCCGCGCGCCGGCGCGGGCGCAGCGAGCGGCCGTCGTTCCGGAGGCGTCGCTCGGGTCCTCGCCTATGGAGTGTCACAGTGCTGTGTAATTTTATGCAATAAATAAATAAGTAAAACAAATACCCCGAAATTGCCCACTGCAAGTACTGGGAAATTTGAACTTCGACATCTTCCATTTTATTTTATTCAAATTAAAATTATTACTTATATAATATATATATATATATATATATAGTTAAAGTATTGTTTTTTAAAAATTACTTACTCGTTTGTTTTTCTGCCATTCGAAAAATCGAAAATGCGTTTTATTTACAAATATGAGCTCCGCCGTAACACCAACACAGCACAAACAGTGAGCAATATCAACGATATGTACGGACGATGTAGACCGAATAAGTGCGCAGTGCGCTTTTCGTTTGATCGCTTCCATTCTTTTGATCTCAACAATGAGCCCCGGCCGGATACGAAAGTTGATAACGATAAAAAGAAACCTATAGTGGAAGCAGATTCACCTCGAGCAACGTCGAAACTAGTAACACTGGTAACTAGTAGTAACACTAGTAGTAGTCTTTGTGATCAGGCGTAAGTATGTGCCCCAGATATTTAAATTTATTTACCTTCTTTCTCGACACCGTCAAGTGTAAGTTGAGGTAATTAAAAAATTTTATTGAATAGGTGCAACCTTCGTGTCGCTATTGACGACTGTGGAATCGGACGACATTCGGTGTTTTTAATTGGATAAGAACCGATATAGAAACGGTCATGTCCCGAAGTAATCCTTTCGGGAACCGACCTCGGAACCGCCTCGCCTAGTGTCCGCGGTGTTGACCGCTGGGCCACCGAGGTCGTCAAACTTTTGGACAGATTTACCCTAAAGCAATTGTATAATTATGTAAATTAAATATTATTATCCCGATCGCGGCGGAAGAGGCCGCAGATACGTCCGACTTGATATTGCCGAGCGCGAGACGTTTCACTCATAATGCTACCGGATTCACATGTCGTACACATTACCTTTCACATGTCGTACTTTTCGCTGATCGACATCATCTACTTGTTTCTTTTGGCCGTTCTATAAACGCCTACTCAAACCTTAGTAGCAAATCCACAAGACGACTTATAAGTATTACGGATTTGCTGATCATAGTTATAAGCGCAATAAAGCGCAAGTTGTTTATAGAGTATGACGCAACGCGAGCAGTCTCGAACGGCGCGCGTCTGTGAACGTCCGTCGACAGGCGACCTTGTATTATGACCCGAGTGTTCGTAAATCCTTAGCTTTATAAATTCTCACGTGAATATCGACGCTTATTTTATAGAAAATGGATTTTACTTGCATAGGACTGTTTTTTGTGTTGAGGTAAGTTTGTTTCGCTCGGGATTCTACGTCAGTTTGTTTACATTGCTGATGGTGTCACTAAGGTGCGAGTTTTAGTTTTGTTGTCACTTTTTTGCAAATATAATGAATGGGGTATTCATAATATTTGCATTTAATAATGTAAACTTTATTCACGCCGTTGATTTTAAGCGATGGCTACCCGTGTTCTTACAAGTACGTATTGCTGTAAACACATTTTGTTATGTTTCGTTCTCTAATTTTGTAATAAGTGCTGATTTATTCAACTTTCCAGCACAACATTAGCGATAGCGCCAACAGCAGCGGCCACGTCGGCTCTTCTTTTAACGCCTTTCATAAAATTAAATCAAACTGCCGAAGCACGCAACAGGTCTTTAGTCACTCCTGCGCTGTTCCTCGACACCACCAGCCATTCAGGTTTTCTCACCGTCGATGAAGAATATAACTCCAATACATTCTTCTGGTATTTCCCTGTGATCAACAAACCGGTTCCCGAGACGCCCTGGATCATATGGCTACAAGGAGGTCCAGGCGCCACTAGTCTATATGGTCTTTTCGATGAAATCGGACCATTTGAATACACCAATAATGTGCTGAAACGTAAGTGCCGACTTATTTATTACTGAGTAACCTCTTCATTATTATTATCAGGGATCTTTCGTGGAGCTGGTGACGTAAAGCCATCATTTATTATCACATATGAACTCTAAACGAACATTATTGTTATCATCCAAACTTCTATTCTATAAAATTAAAATAAATGCAGGTGGATAGCCCAAGTGCCGTCTAGTAACAGTGAAAGACTTACGTTTTTATAGTGCGTACGTTAATATCTTTGGATGAAATAAATTCGAATGTAAAAAGGAGTTAACGAACTGGTTGCAAAACTTAAATTTTAAGGATACTGAAGCTTTGCTTCATCCAATGGGAAGCCGTACAAACGCACACACGTTCACATCTATGCACACACACCCAACCACACACAAACGCACACCTACACCCCTCACGTGCAAAATTTTACATCTAAATAAATAATTGTGCATCAATAAAGTGTAAATGTACATTTTTTCTCTTTTTTAATTTTGTTTCTCTCATATAATCTTTGTAATCTTCTTAGTAATGCCGTAACTTTGTATGTCATTCTCAAGTGTGAGGGCCTGGTAACTAGCGGTAGAGGTGTTAAGCCTTTAACAAGCACCAGCTCCTTCAAAATGCGTAGTATGTCTTAAAATTACTAAGATCCTTATTGTTATTTGTAAATTGTTTTGGAAACTCCTATCAGATCAAACAGATTCGACAATGTCTTGACTAAATCGAATTCTTCACGTGTTTCAGTGCGCGAATGGTCCTGGAGCAGACAACATTCGATGTTGTTCATCGACAATCCCATCGGAGCCGGGTTCAGCTTCACCGGCAGCGAACAAGGGTTCGCGACTAATTCGTCCACGGTACGTTTATTTGCTCAGTTGTAATATCTATGGTTGTGACACTATTCGTTTATGGGTCGTGCTTGGGTGTCACAGTGAAGAAGTGAGTGCCGATGTCACATACTATTTCCTATTTTTACATGTCGCATCCCCAGGGAGCCACCATATTGAAAGAGGTGTGACCGGCATCAGCCGATCATCTTTCACACTAGTCGATAGGCCGTCGGGGTCTACGTCGTCCATCCGGTGGATATGAAAGGAGCTCTTCGCATCTTCGGATTCACTAGATCGTATGTAATCGATATTCCCGAGTAGTATAGATGTGTTTTGTCTTTGTGATTGGCTCTGTTATAATTTTGTAGTGCTCGAAGATTAATTATCCAGACGCGTTCAACCATCATTCAGTAAGTAGGTGTGGTGACTCCCTTTGGGTGCGGCCATATGAGCTGCGTTTCGACAGCTGCCCAAGTACCACTTTGCAGTTGCGAGACCGTCTGTTTCTTGGAAGCACTTTTTGTGACTAAACAATCAGAGAAAGAGAGTGAGATAAGTTAAAATTTTGCCCTTTTCTTTAAACATCGATGTAGGTCGAGTTCTTGGCAAACCGTAGGTCGCTTGACAGGTCGTTTTCCTTTTAAGAATGCCACACAGTTATATTACGTACATACAACGTTTTTTCCTCTTCGCTCTGAAGGTCGACGTAAACTAAACACTATAATAACACGTGTAACATTTTTATCGTCTATCTCTTACACAATTCCTATATTTGGATCTTGTTTATTTAGATAATTGTATAGGCCAAGAAAATATACACGAAATAATTGACGCTTCCTAAATACGGAATTGAGTTTCGTATGACTTGCATGCACTTTTCTAGGTATTTATATACACCAATTGACTTTTGGCATTCTGACTACAAGCGTGTTGACACCGCCCCGGTTGATAATAATTGATAACAACTACATACATTCACAGTGCACTGCACACAGGTTCAAGGTGTACTCCTGTCGGTGTTGACATAAATCTATTCATCGGAGGAGTTCGTCCCGAGCATTTATCACTCCTTGGAGTTCGGAAAGATTATGGCGGGACTGTACCTACATTTTCACAACGCACGGATCAAGGGCATGAAATTAACTATAATGTTTAATTGATTTTATATGTCGTCACCGTTTCTAAACCGAACGCAAATCAACTGTTTGATTAACTTGCATTGCAAGACAAAAACTTGACTGTACTTCCGCAGTGTTAACTTTCGAGTCAATGGCGCTGTGTCGCTTGCACGAACGTAATTATATTGCCTGCTTACTTATAAATGTATTTATCTACATCACCGCAGCGTCGATGGGCGATTGTCGTGGCTTGCGGGCTGATAAGAGCAGGTCCAGTTAGTTCAGTTGTACGGTGTACCTACTACGCTAAAATCGTCAGTTCACGCGGAGACATTCGACCTTTCATAGCGTTGTTTGCTACTCACAAATAAACTTTATACAGTGTGACTGCTCTCGAGTTAATTTCCGTAACAGGTTTTGCCAAAAAGGCAAATATGAAATCTGTTGTGTAATGCCCAAAGCTGTCCACGGGATTGTTAACAAATATTTCCTATACCACAATGAAAATGATTTTATTATGCTTCTTCCACAGTACAGCAACCACCTGTATAGCGCCGTCCAGCAGTTCCTGACAATCTTTCCAGAACTCCGCTCGGCTCCCCTGTATATTGCGGGAGAGTCGTACGCTGGACACTACGTACCCGCCCTCGCTGTAAAGATTAAGGACAACACTGACGAGAATAGAAGTATTAATTTACAGGTACTAACCACATTCAACTTATCTACATTTAGCATACTTGATAAATATTTAATTTAAGAGGTATGTGTATTTGCACGTTTTGGTGGCATATCCTACTGGGTTGTGGTCGCTCACCTTATGATACTAGCAGAAAACCAGCAGTGTTTGACTTTTCAGGGTCTACAGTATTTATGCTGAGTCAAATTTTGTTTTCTCTATATATGTGTTTATCAATGTGTACTAATTTATGTTCTATGTGCTTTTGTGTTATATCTTGTGAAGTGATTGTAAATATTTCTGCTTGTATTTGTGCTGAATAAACGTTTTATCTATCTATCTAGGTAGAATATTCCTAACAAGCTGCTAAGGAGAAGAAAACACCTCGTGTCGATCCATTCGAGCAGACTGGATTAAATATGGAGGTAATAAATAAAGTATTGACTCTTTGTCAAGATGTATTGGCCTTTCCAGGGTATAATCCTGGGCAATCCAGTGCTAGATCGGGAGGACATAGAGAATGTGACTGCCGTGTTCCATCAATGGGGTCTAATCGACACGCAGGGTGCGCTCGCTGTGCGACCTCTGCAGGACGCGTACGTCTCGGCAATACAGAGGGGCGAATATGCGCAGGCGGCTGAGGTTCGTATTTTATGTGAGATTATGAAATGAAGCTATCGTGTGTTTCGATACTACAGTGTGAAACATACCCTTACAAATGTGGAAAGCTAAAATTGATATGTCTCTTGCAGTTTCGTAACACATTACTGGACAGACTAAGCGATTTGTCTCTGCAAAAACAACTCTACAATATCCTCGTGGACGATTATGATATTAACGAGTTCGAAGAATACTTGCGCAGGGAAGATGTGAGAGAAGCGTTACATGTGGGGGACGTAGAGTTTACCGCTGACAACGGCACTGCGCGCAGCAAGCTGTTGCCTGATTTCCTGTTCAAATTAGAGTCCAAGATAGAAGAGGTGCTTGAGCATTACAGAGTTTTAATTTACTGGTCAGTTTCTAATGGTAGTTGTGTAATATTAGACTTTTCGTTGACGGCTCGTTGTGTGGTTGCGTCTTTGCGTGATTTCAAGAAATGAGCAAAACTGATTTTCTGGGCACTAGAATGCAGGTTCGTTGTAATTGAACATTCGCCTGACAAATGCAAAGATTGCAATACGACAAATAATTCATTTTTTGAAATGGTCTTTATCTGCAGTAGACCGTTAAAATAGTTAGTTTATTTACATTTATGGTGACATCGGCGGCCCAACGGTTTGGACTGTGGGCGCTGAATGAGGAGGTTCCGGGTTCGAATCCCTATACCAATTTGAGAAATGAACTTAGGTCGTCATAGTACTACTTGGTACTTGGTGTAACGGGCTAGTGTCCGCAACTCGACGTCAAGGCGCCTATTTTGCGTGGGTCGTCATAGTATAGGGAATTCCGAACCAAGCAAGTCGCCACACCAAGTCGACCACATGGTCGAAAACAAAACTTGAAATCTTGTTGAGTTCAACGCCAAGATAACACAGGTTTGCGCGTTAACAACAAAATTGTCGCCGTTCCTTCCCATGCCTTCTCTGATGAGCACAGCACTTCCACCTCAGAGCAGTTTTACCTTGCTCGGTATGGAAATCTGCTGTGATTTGAATCCAAGGAGCTACATCGAATCTGTAATCAAAACAGCCTCACGGAAACTCGGGGTCCTGAACAAGTTGCGACGTTTTTTCACGCCGGACCAGTTATGCCTGCTGTACAAAACACAGGTCCGGTCTTGCGTTGAGTATTGTTCGCACTTGTGGGACGGCTCCGCCAAGTACCTACTCGATGCCTTGGATAAATTACAGCGTCGTGCTACTCGAATTATAGGCGACGAAGAGGTCTCATCACGCCTTGAACCTCTGCAACAGAGTAGAGATGTTGCATCGCTTAGCGCCTTTTACCGCATGTAGGTACCATGGTGAGTGCTCTGAAGAGCCGTTCAACCTCATCCCCCCTTCCCCGTTCCCGCTCAGAAGCACGAGTGCTGGCCTTCGTAGTCACCGTTTCAGTACCTGCGACATTCCATCGCGTACTAAAAGGTTCGGTGGCTCCTTTCTCTGCCGCACGGTTGACAAATGGAACTCCCTTCCGGCACACGTCTTCCCTCCCTCTTATGATATGGGGTCCTTCAAACGAGGCGCGAAGAGGCATATTGTAGGCAGGCAGGGTGGAGGTGGCTAGTGCAGCGAGGGTTTCATCGCTGCACTAGGTTCCTTCGCGTTTGGATACCACTTTCCACTTAACATCAGGTGGAGTGGAGTCATTTGCCTGGCATGTATATAAAAAAACTTGTTTCAGTGGTCAATTGGATCTCGTCGCCCCGTGCGCGCCGAGCGCCGGCGCGCGCCGCCGCTGGCGCTGGAGCCGCCGCCGGGACTTCCTCGCGGCGCCTCGCGTGCCGTGGAGCTACGACGAGTCCGTGGCGGGGTATGCACCCGCGCGGTGGGCACCATTATGTTGCGTGATGTCGCAGAGGTTTTTATTTCATCTCCCTTTCCAGCTACGTGAAAAGCGGAGGCGGCTTCACTGAGGCGCTCGTTCGAGGCGCAGGTCATCTAGTCCCCATAGACAAACCGGCCCAGGCTTACAGGCTCGTGTCCTACTTCATCAGACGCTTGGACATGCCTTTGCCAGCTAACTACAAATCGCGACCAGACGACACTCCAGACTTACTTGCCGTTAGAGATCAGCCTCATCAGGATCACACGAACACCGGAATGATAATAAGCATTGCGATAAATGTCGCTTTAGTCGCGGCTTTGATTGTCGGCGTCGTGTCGTACATCAGATTGAAGAGGAAAACTGAGGCTTTCTGCTATAACATGGTTGACAATGTATCTGACGATATATTTTTGACTTAGACTGAGTCTGTGGCGGTTCATGTGATGTGCGCAGTGTGATTGTGCGGGAGGACCCACCTTCGCGAAGCGGTGAAATGTCATCCACTTTGTCCCTATTGTTGTATTTGTTGTTGTATTTTTATTATTATAAATTTTGTGATATTTTTATAAACTTCGCCCTATGTTCGGCCTTACAAACTAACAGCTGTGGGTGAAATAAATCAATCAACTAAGTACCCTACATACGTAGTAATGAGCCTTGATGTGTAAATTGTTGTACTGATTAGGAATTATATTTGATATTTTTAAATAAAACACTATGATTGTGACTGAGTAAATTTCATTCTTATTTATAGTAGAAACGCTCCTCTTGTCATTTCCGTGGGACAGTGCATTCTTTCTTCCTTAGTATGCAGTTGTACCTACAACCTTGTGAAGTTGGCACGTACTAAGTAGACAGTAACGGTCAGCAAATGATAATGTGTTTAATTATTTGAACTCTTGATTATACTAATAAAAACAAATTTTCATAACCTCGTCCTTCAAGAACCCGGTATCACCTAAAAAAGTCACAAAAGTCCAAGGTACATAATTTATGCGCAAAATGAACGAGTGTCTCCTTATTAAACTATACTATACTATACTAAATATTCTAATAGCCTTGAAACTGTTTAAGTATTACAGTGTCCTAGGCATCTCAATCACAAAATTTGCATTGATGTTAAGTTGTTTATGCTCGGACAAAGAACACCGGCACCGGCACCGGCACCGTGGGAATTTGTAGCTATCCTAAACAGTAGCGATCGTCAAAGCGAGCTTTGGTTCTACGCAGCAGCTCGGCACACTCAGCTCTGTCTCTTTGACTACCAAAAGACTCACGATTTCTGTACTATTACTATAAAAAATAGGAGTCACTGTGGAAGGTTAATAAAATTAATCTTAGTTATTTTTTGTTACGAAGACGCGAATGTTTATACTACTAACTATGAAAGTTACTGGTCGACGTTGAACTGGAATGGCTTACCGTATTCATAATTGACTCAAAGTCTCCCCTTTTATATAACATTGTTATTTTTTAAAAGGACTTCGCGTAAAGTTAATATGGCCAACCTATACATAGAGCAGATCTGCGAGCGTGTAAGAATCTACGCGCGTCGTCCTGGCGCGGACGCACCGTGGGAGCGCGCTTATGCTAAACAGGTCATTGGTACCCAATACCCGTCCTGTTCATTGAGCTCTAGAGGATGCTCTTAATATGAAAATATTGAAAAGCAACTTTTTCTACTCAGAACTTAGGAAAATTAGGATGAGAAGCCCTCGGCCTTTCTTACCCGATTACGACAAAGACAAAAGAAAAGGTGCAATTTTTTCAACTTATTTGTGCCCAACTTTTCTTGTTATAAAACTTATTGTTTTACAACAATCTTTGGACAAATGGAAATTTTAAAGGTTACTGTAAACATATCGCAACAATAACATAACAACTAACATAGTAGACATTATTTCAAATTGCTTTAAGTTATATTAATATTACCTACGCAATTTCAAAGCGACAGTGTTGTCCTGTAACTTTGAAATTAAATCGTATACGAATGACATACAAGTATAGCGAATTTTGGAGATAAATTATTAATCTAACGCAATTTTGACATAAAAATATAATATGACGCAATTTTTGAGATAATACTATGTTAGTTGTCAAGTGCGATATAGTCCTAATTAAAATAGACCCAGAAGGACCTTGCCTGCGACTAACCTACATAGGTACAAATGTGTCGGCACGGTGATTACAGCAAACCGCCTGCTTATAGATGTTTTAGATAAGCAGTCGACTAATATGAATGTACGATGAGTTGATAATTAATATTACGAGTTTACAAGCTAATTAAAAGAAAGAGGAATTTATTTGAACACCCTGTGTACAGATCGAGATAGATCCAACCTCAAGTAAAGCCACAGGTGCGAGCTATACAAGTTTCCAGTCCGGCCTGCTCGGCCATTCCACATCGTCCGACCAGGGCGGCAGGACATCGCTAGGACCTTTTTGAAATTCGACTATAGTTTTACGACGCGCGACGTGTGTAGTCAAGTCTGAGATGGCGGTCAAAATTGAAATCTCATGGCATCTATCTTTGTTACTGTAAGTTATTTTTGTTGACAGAAAAATAGTATGTAAGTAGTTAATACTAGCGAATGACTCGTTTACGTCTTTATAACAATCTATATTCAATTGTAGTGTCTGTTTTATAGTTTTTACTTGAATAATTTTTTTCAGCTTTAAGAGGTATATACAATTTTTAAAGTGATCCCACAGATGCGTCCACGCAGTGACGAGTGCAGACTTCACGCTGCCGAATTTCCAAGGCAAGGCTCCAGATACTATTCTCAATTTTATGGAACGCGTGTACACAGGCGGCCGCGCGCGGACCACCATCGACGCCGGGGACCCGCTCCTCCTCACACCTTACATCGAAAACAACAGGGTGAACGAGGCGCGCGAAGCTGCCTACGTCAGTCCCGACTATTTGTTACCTGACATGGACAGCTACGCTGGATATTTGACTGTGAGTATTCTGTCATTCCACGACTGGTCTCATGTTTCTCCTTAAATGACAGAAGTTTAGTCGTTATTATTTGAAAAACACTTCAATTACAACGATGAATTACTTAATTGTGAATTCATTCTCTGAATGGAAAATATTCGCAAAAAAATTAATGGCGACAGTTTTAACCGTGTTCCTGTCTGATTTATATATACAAGATTTTACATATATCTATAAATGTAATAAAGTGATCGTAGCGGATAGTACTCCCAAAACAATAGCAGAAAACAAAATTGCAAACCAGCCTCATTTTACAACAGGTCAACAAAAAGTACAATGCCAATCTCTGGTTCTGGTACTTTCCGGTGACAGACAAACCAGTGGAGAATACTCCCTGGATCATCTGGCTACAAGGAGGTCCTGGGGCCTCGTCGTTGTATGGCCTCTTCACTGAAATAGGACCCTTTGTCGTAACCAGCGATAACACTTTGGAAGGTAAGGTACCTCAGAGTATCATCATAGTATCGTATTTGAGCTATGCGAATAAGTACACAATATTCCTTCAATAAACCGTCGTCGATGTACAAGTACAATGTTACATTGCGTAAGCTACGCAGTTACGCCTTACCTTTTTAAATGTATTGGTTTTTTTATATAATACCAAGTGACGGGAAGAACAAGTCGTGCGCCTGGTGATAAGCGACACGCCTGTCCATAGCAGTTGCAGTGCCAATCAGAGCTTTAAATCGCAAGATTTAATTTTTGCCTGTAATTTCACCAACACCCTTATCCTTCAAAGCCGGAACGCAGTACTGCCTAGAAATAGGTAAGGTGGCAGTACTTCCCTGGATTAACTGTTTCAGAAGGAGCTCTACTGCTGTTTAGATTTAGATATTGAGCTATTTCTTTGAAGTTGCGGTATCGACGATGTAGGTGCCTGTGTTTTATATTGTTTGTTAAAAAGCAGTAAATACATATCTTTCATAAATAAATAGGTTCGATGTATATGACACAGAACTTCAATATTCGTGGGGCAAGGACCACTCGCTGCTGTTTATCGACAACCCGGTGGGCACGGGCTTCAGCTTCACCGATGACGACCGCGGCTACGCCACCAACCAGACGACGGTATTTTTTCTGTAGTAGAAGTGCTAGAACCGTACCTATGAATAAACCCGCCTGGGATCCTACCCGGGGCGACGGTTACTTGCTAACAAGTGTTCAACATGTTTCTAGATCGGAGAGAACCTCTACGATGCTCTCCAACAATTCCTGACGATATTTCCGGAGCTGCGCAAAGCTCCATTGACCATCGCGGGAGAATCTTACGCCGGAAAACATATACCTTCATTAGGCATTCAGATCCTACGAAATCGAATGAAGGACGAAGCCATCAATTTACACGTAAGTTTTCGTTCATCAATTTACCGTATCGCACCGTGCTTCAATATTTATAAATTAAAACGAAAATGGTACCCGACATTAGAAAAAAAATATTATGTCCGTATTTATTATTGCATTGTCCTCGTGCTCCTCAGGGTTTAGCAATCGGGAATGGCTTTATCGACCCTCTGACGCTGCAGCGGTACAGCTACTTCGTCCGCGAGGTGGGCTTAGTGGACGATAGGACTGCTAACTTCATGAAACACCTGGAGTCCACTATCATGGAGTTCATTAAAGCTGGGGACATGCTGAAGGCCTATGCTGTGAGTTTTTTAAGATATTCACAACCATAGAGCAACAAGAACAAGCTAATATGTGTAGCACATAAAAAAATCACAAGTCCAAGGATAATTCTGGCCATAGATGGCGACGGAAATGGGAAATCGTAAGAAAGCAGAGGAAGTTCTTAACACTAATCCATGTGAAGATTCTAATTTCCAACAGAATATCGAAAGTGTATTGTCTTGTCTCTAATCATGAAAGTTTCATTCAACAGTACTACAACTATCTCCTCCAAATGTTCATGACGGAGTCTCGCCTTACCAACATATACAATTACCTCCAAGATGACATCAGCCTCGAGGGCGCTTACATAGATTACGTACAGAGCAACGAAGTTAGGCGTGCATTACATGTTGGAGGAACTAACTTCACATCTATCGGAGTCGTGTATAGGAAGCTTGTTGGAGATTTCATGGGTAGCGCTAAACCCTGGCTTGAAGAGTTACTGGAAAATTATAAAGTGATGCTGTACAAGTAAGTTGTGTTGTTTACAGTAGAGTCATATACATAAGATACCTGATCCCCTAATATGCCCAAACCGACCTTTTGGTTCTAAGAGCCATCTTACGTATTGAACAAATAAAAAATTGAAGCAATTTCAACTTTATTGGTATGAACAAATCTTTAAAACCAATACTTAATTACGTCATTTAACTTCCAAGAAAATTTGGTAGAGCGGCTTGTTGTATCGACTACCAGTTACAAAACCCGTGGTTCGATTCCACGAGCACTGTTTTTGTTTTAACGTTATATTTTTAACAGCGTTATTTCACTTTTTAATGTTAACGTGGACAAATCACAATATTCGTTCACTAGAAATTGAATATGGTGAGTGGGTAGATATTATTAATAAAGCGTAGGGTGGGTTTGGATAGATTAACAAATCACGAAATCGCTCTGCAGTTTACATGCGATCGTGTGTTCTGTGATTACGTATTGCTCCACGTTTCGTTTCGTTTTTGTCTATTCAGTTTTAATCACTTTCAAGGTTTTAGTAATTATCAAAATTAGAAATTATTGTTCTGTATGAACAAGACTCAGATATTCCTTACACCTATCCAGACGTTAAAAACAAAAAAAAAAACAATATTAGGTATATAGTCATAGCTGAATAGTTTTAATTTCTAATGTGACTCGAACCATGCTCGACTCGGACCATGCTTGCCTCAATTTGTAAAGCAATACCACTTGGTCATGACGGCCTTACTAACGCTGGTTGAAATTTGTGAAGAACCATACGTTAAAGATCAAATTGGGATAAAAACTTTCTTAAAATGTCATTCACTAATGAGACGAGCAGGGAGTCATATCAAAATAAATTTTACGGCTCACTGGTTGAAGATTAACTTTGTTTAACAATTTTCTCCACATTTTTGTGCTTATTACCAAAAGGTCAGCTTGGGGGGTCAGGTATCTTGTGTATATGACTCCACATGACTTAGACAAGATACTGTAGAATTGCTCTACTTGCTCTTATGACTGCTGGCAATACAGGGAAGGTTCATTTACATTGTGAATGCTTGAATGTAGGTAATAGGCATTCCTTTTTTGACACAGGTCTCTTAATATATAGTACATCTGTTGCAATTATTTGAACAACATAAAATATAAAAATTTACTTTTTTATAACCTTTGTGGGAGTTATTGAATTCCTTTTATTGCATAGAGTCCGTAAGGCTACGAATTTATTATGTAAATGACGACGTCAATAAAACGCACAAAGTTAGGAATTTGCATGTCATATTTGGACCTTATAACGACTCCACTGATAAGACCAATGCTACGCAACTTAAATTATGTACGTAGAAAAGACATCCCCTTAAAAGATAATCCTTGTGCGAAGGTTGGTCTCCAGAAGTGAAGTGTGCAAGGTGATTGACATGATGATGTGTCCCGCTGATGTGCACGGATCTCGATTTTTTTTTAAATTTCAGTGTTATCTACTCCAAATTCACACGTAGAAATTATTCACTACAACGCAAGATATATGAAATATGACAGTAAAGGAAACCCAGTGCGGGCCAAGAGCTCTCTTAATTATTCGGACATCCGTATAATATGAATGTGTCGACACATTAAAATTGAACCTAGGTATCCTACCTCATAAAATAGAATGTAGTAGCTTTGTTCTAAAGATGTACAATTGTTCTCATACTGTAACACACAGCGGGCACTTAGACATCATAGTGGCATACCACCCGTCGGTGAACACCTACGAAGCGCTCAACTTCTCCGCCGCTGTGGAGTTCAAGAACGCGTCGAGAAAGCCTTGGTATCACGAAGAAACCTTGGCCGGGTAAGAAATTGTTCTTCGTCAATGGTTTTGTATTCATATTTTTCCAGTCCGGTATTCAGTCACGTGTGTATTGCTGTGTCAGACGTTGCGTTGAACAGGTGTGGCAGGAGGCGCAGACTAATAATCGATGCCGTCCACATCTCGATGGCTTTCTAGGAGGCCGCTAGGCCTAACTGACAAACAACCATTCAAAAATTCATCAGGAAAACATTCTAATAACTCTGAATAGACTCACGTTTTTCGCCATTTTCAAATATGGCCGCCATACAAACGTTTGTAGGCAGTAGAAAAAAAATTGTTCTGATCCCTTCCAAAATTGTCATGTGGGAGTCTCTAGGAGTGCTTGATAATAATTTGTGATCAGCATTAGTTTATCGCCATTTTTCAATATGGCTGCCATAGAAGTATTTATTGGCGGTAGATGAAAATTTGCTCTAATTCACTTGAAAATCGGCATGTGGGTGTTAAGTAATAATTTCCGGTCAAAATTTATTTTTTGCCATTTTTCAATATTACAAACCTTATAAACTTTTTTAGCGGTTGATAAAATTTTGCTCTAATTCTACTAAAGTCATAAGTGCCGAGGCTGTAGGCCGAGGTCTAGCGGAGGGCGATGCCTCACCTTACGTAGGTATAGTATACGGGGACTAGATTTCACAATTGTTCAAAATGTAAGGCATACTTCCCGATGTAGTGGAAATAATATCTTATTTACTTATACAACTTATAGCGTTGTTGTATCTCGACCGTCTCTCTGTTAGATTCTTTTTTATTGGAAGCTGTGCTAAAAAGAGAAGTATTTAGGGAAAAAATGCCGACAATCACTTCAAATTTCTGATCTAGGGAAACGAATGAAACTAGGGAATTTCCTGTACTATGAGTACCAGAGTAACGATAATTATGAAGGAATACCCAGAATACCCTGACCAGGACCTTAAAAATGGTTTTTTTCATAAATTGGCTCAAATAAGGGATTGAATCTGGAGCCTCCTCATCAAGCGCCCATAGTATTAATCACTGTGCCACCGAAAAGCATAAGCACACCCCGTAATCTGAAAGCAACCACGCGCCGCAGGCCGAGCCCGACCCCACCGTAGGTGGGGTATAGGGCTCGTAATAAATATAGCAAGTAAAGCCGGCGAATTGCATACGAACACCGGTACAATGTTGTCACGTGATTACTTTAACCAATGAAAAATTGTGGGTCTTACAATGAAATTACATAGTACATTTTGAATAGGTACAGCTGTGTAATAAGTAAAAAATGAACTATTTCCGTCTGGGCGGCTATTCTTGAAAAGCAGCGATTTATGTAATAGTGAAATGTGGTGCAATGTTCATTAATACTTATTATGTTCCAATTTTTAAAGTCTATAACTTCTTTGTCTCTTTTGTTAAGTGTATGGAATACAAATGTAGGGAATACAAACATATGGGTGGTTGCAGATATCGTACCTTTAGGTGTACCCTTTACATTGAATAAAATACGTGCGATTTATTGTAATCACTATTGTGTAACTTTCTGATGGCTATTTCTCATTTCATCAGGTATTATAGAACAGCGGGTAACCTACTAGAAGTCATGGTCCGCGGGGCAGGACACATGGTGCCGGCCGACCGGCCCTCGGCTTCCCTCGGCCTCATTATGGCCTTTTCTCGCGGCGTGGGTCTGCACTTAGACACTGGCTCTCTTGTCAATGATGTTAATAAAAAAGCCTTGAAGAGACATCGTGTGCCGAGTGTTGATAAGGCAAGTCTTAAACATTCTACGGCATAGTTTCCACAGCCACATAAGCAGTACTGTGTAGGCACATCTATTTTTTGTTTGTCCAATTTTTATAAGCACAGGATGTTTTTTTTACTGTTTGTTAAAATAAAAGACCAGTTTTCGCGTTTAAGAAGATTGTTTTACTGTTACTTACTGCGTACACTGTTATCTACAACTTCAACTAATTCAATGGGTCTAATTTATGGGGCACTATTTCTCTGGTATTGGCAGAGTCGTTTTAGAAGGAGGAGGCTGTTATGTTTGATTCCTTTCCTGTGAACACTGGCTCGGCACTGCCATGCGTGACGTAACGCGCCGTCCACTCTCGCCAACGGCTCTTGTGATACTGACTGGGTGTACCCACGCATTGACACACGAGACAGTGTGTAGGTATGTCAAGTCGCATACACTACATCCCTTCTTTATTATAAATAATTAAGTAAAACAAGTTATTTGCCTGTGCCCACTAAATATCATTATAATAATAATAACGCACACACTCAACATAGCCCCGCACTAGGGAAACCCCGTGTCGCAGGTGCCATGGACACAGACTCTATGTACATACACCACAATTTCGCCCAAACTCACTAGATAAACAAATATAGGCAATACAAATATTTCTCCCGGCCCGGGCATCTAACCTGGGACCTCTGCGTGGCACTCCAGCATGGTAACCGTTCGGCCACGGAGGCAGTAGTTATACATAGTAATCTAATGTTGTTTACAATGAATTTCGAATTGGAGTTTATAAAAAAGCAGAGCCTCCTTGCAGGTGTCTGACAGAGATATGTGTTCCGGACGCGTAACATCTTTATGCACGCTGATAGCCCAGCCCGTCTTCTGTCAAAATTTAATTTTACGTTTGAGACAGCGAAGTACCCCTTCTTTTTTTTCCGCTTTCCAGTCAGTACCATCGCAAGTTTTTTTGGACTGATTTAATGAGCACACAGCATGCGTAATATTTGTGCGCGTGTACAGGTATATGTATAAATAAGACATTCCATTTAACTTTTTTTTTAGGGGGAAATCTTTATAGATACCCCTGAGCCCAGGGAGACTCAGGGGTTAAGTGGGGACTCTCCCTCCAGTCTGGAGGGCCTACCCCACTAAAATCCCCCCGGGTTTACCTCTCGCCGGTTGAGTCGGCGTCGTGGGATCGGTGAACATTCACCACGACGCCGCTAGCTTGCGCCAGGGCTCCCGCGCCAACGGAGGGGCGAGTCGGTTGTCCTCCGACCCGCTCCCCAGACGAGTGAGGCCGTGCAATGCAGGATCCGGAATCCCTGTCCAGAGCCCGCTGGTCTCACCAGGGGATCAGGCGAGCAGCGAACTGCGTTCGCCTTCTCCCCGTACGTCTGCGCCGAAGCGGGTGCGCGTCCGCCGCGTCTTCGCGCACCCGCTCCGCGGCCTCCTTTTGCGACATGACCTCTGCGCAAAAGGAGGCTACCGCCTCCCAGGACTCCTCGCTATCGAGTATGGCGGCAACCACGCTCGGCAGCGAGAGGTCCTGCCCTATTGTCCCCGTCAGGGTACGGTGCTGCTCATCTCAACGGCTGCACACCTCTAGGGTGTGCTGCGCGGTGTCATCCACAGCGCCGCACTCGTGGCACGACGGGGACGGTTCCCTCCTCGCCACCTTGTGTAGGTAGTGACAGAAGCAGCCATGCCTCACCTGCACAAGGTGGTATGACAGCGGCCCGTGGAACCGGCTCACCCACTCTACGAGGACAGGACGGATCGGCCCTATGGTACGAGCTCCATAGGGGGGATCCGCCAAGCCCTCTTTCCACCGGTCCCGCATACGCAGCGCCGCGAGGCGACCGGGTGGTCGCAGCGATTTCGTCGCCGCTGATAAGACCCCACTCCAAATGGGAGCTCCGTATAAGGCCATACTTCGGCTCATCCCGGCGTATAGCCTTCTGCATGGGGCTCCCGGCCTCCCGAGATTGGGCAGGAGCCGACCCAACGCCGATGCGGCGCCCACTATTCGGGGAGCAAGTTGCCGGAAATGCTTCCCGAAGTTCCATCGCCGGACAAGGCCCAGGTATTTCATCTGGGACCTGACCGGGACCGAAATCAGACTTGGGGTCGCACGGGGCATCCTGCAAAGATACTGTCTCCGTGGCCGAACGGTTACCATGCCGGACTGCCACGCAGAGGTCCCAGGTTCGATTCCCGGGCCGGGAGAAATAGTTGTATGGCCTACAATTATTTCTCTCCTGAGTTTGGGTGTAATTTGTGGTTGTCTGTGTGTGTGTCCATGGCACCCGCGACACAGGGTTTCCCTAGTGCGGGGCTACGTTGAGTGTGTGCGTTATTATTATTATTTATACACAAGAAAAGGGAATAAAATCAGAAATAGGTAACTCACCATTCGGTGTCTGATGTTGGTCATTGCCGTATTTAATGATAGCCAGTGCCGTCAATTTAATGACAGCCATGACAGGTTTTTGGTTTTTTATTTATTTTTTGTTTTTATTGTTATTATTATATTTATATAATTAATGTTTGAGTTAGTTGATTATTTAACTTTTAGGTGTCCCTAATAATAAATAAGCACTTATGTAGGTAACTAAATGGGTAGGTACATTCTTAATTATCCCATTGCGTGTGTACCGCACGACACGATTCTCAAAGACAGCGTTGCTATCAGCGCTTTGGACGGAGATTTAACACCCCTTGCACTTGAACCGAGACTCGTTTATTTACTTACGTCACTGTTATTTCGCCATTGGTTTTCCTGAAAAGATTTTCCTTTTACGATGTTTATAATTATTTGGATTTCCATTTTTTGTACCTAAATATATATTCGAATTGTGGTGTTCTAATTTATACGGGCCATGGTAGAATAACAATGAGGGCTATGTTATTAGCATAGTCCTCAGATCCTGTCATGGAACCTTTTGACATGATTTTTATTGTTATTTTTTACTTTTTTTCTTCTTTATTTAATACGCAATACGGCTACCTGCCAATAAAGAACTTTACCACTACATTATTGTTGTTGTTGTTGACTGTAACCAATCAACATTATTCCAATTGCATAAAGCACCAAAACCGCAGTTTCAATAAGATAATAGACAACAATAAAATATAAACTGTGAAAGAGAACCTTATGTTGTGCACTAAAAGATCATATGGTAAGACCTGTAGCATCGCTAAATTACTCGAGCAGCGTCACTTTTCTCTCACAACTACTACCTCTGCATAGTTCGCACAACGACGCACCAACAACATACTAACAACAGGTTAGCTAGCTGCTCGGTAATGAGCCACACATTGGATAATATCAATGCATTATAACAATAATAACGCACACACCCACAGTCATGCATCAGGAAAACCCCTCGTCTCAGGTGCCATGGACACACACACCGACAGACAACCATAAACCACACAAATACCACTCCCGGCCCGGGAACCGAACACGGGACCTCCGCGGGGTAATCCAACATAGCAACCGTTCGGCCACAGAGGCAGTTTTATTTAAATTACATTACCTGTCATTGTAATAAAGAGCAGCTCCAGTATTACTTTGTCCAATAGGCAACAATTCGTAAATTGGAGCACAGACGCCATATATGTGAGTCACAACTAAAACATTGCAGCGTCATTCAAATGACACATCCGCCAAATGGCGTTATACAAAAATCTACTAAAGTTTAACTACGGATTTTACTATGAGCACTGGGTAAATACTTATTTTATAGACTCCATACCTAAAAAGAACATAATAAAAGTAACCCTACTATATAATAACGCACACACTCAACATAGCCCCGCACTAGGGAAACCCTGTGTCGCGGGTGCCATGGACACACACATAGACAACCACAAATTACACCCAAACTCACGAGAGAAATAAATGTAGGCCATACAAACATTTCTCCCGGCCCGGGAATCGAACCTGGGACCTCTGCGTGGCAGTCCGGCATGGTAACCGTTCGGCCACGGAGGCAGTTAGTTAGTTATATGTTTACATTAAGACACGTTACTAGTCATCTCCTGTAATTATTATTGAAATTATAGGCACTAATGCATTACCAAAAACTAGCAAAGACAATTTCACTAACGCTTAGCTGTATGGTTTTAACTTTTGCCTTTCGTTAACGGAAAGAAATCAAAAATAACAACCTAGATAGATATTCCGTGATGTATAACTCAGTACAGAGAAACTGCAATTTCTTGTCATATCTTGTAGTTTCTTTTGTTATAAACAAATTTTTCATACTTTTATCCTCGTCGCCACTTGTTATGTTTGTTCTTTTCCTGTGAACACTGGTTCCGCACCGTCATGCATGACGTAACACCCCGTCCACTCGCCAACGGCTCTCGTGGTACTGACTGGGTGTACCCACGCATAGACTCACGAGACAGCGTGTAGGTCTGGGTCTGAGTCAGGGTCTGGCACTCAAGCCTTTAACAGGTAGGAATAAAAAAAAATTGAATAAAAAAAAGGTATGTCAAGTCGCATCATACACTACAGAGGATATTTACAATTTTACTTATACATACTAATATGGGTGTCGAATGAAAGGGGTCCCCTCAACCATTACAATAAAACCGTAAAAGTAGTACATTTTTGGAGAACGAAGCAAATTAATGTTATACTCGCCGTTTACGTCTCTTTTTAAAGAAAGTATTTATTACATAATGGAGTAAGGAGTTTTAATGTGGTTGCCAATTATTTGAAAGATTTTACACAATTTAAAGATTTCTCCAAAGTTATTGGAAAATGAAAGAGATAACTTAATAATAATGTACTGATAAGACTCTAAGCTCCGCTCTCTTTATTAGGTCCTCGAACTGTTTGTGAATGGAGCAAACATGAGCGATGTTACGCAATGCAAACCAATTACGGCCGATTCAATACGTTCAGTACTTCAACTCATTATACAACGTGACTTTTGTATATTTCTTGCTAATTTTTCGTTTAAGTTTCTAAATGATAAAGAACGCTACAATATACCAAAATTTAAAAAAAATCATAAAAATTTTCGTTCTGATTCTTAGCGCGTTGTTTAAGTCAGTTTGTATTTTTTCAAATATTACATCAATGACTTTTTATCAAGCGGCGGTTGAAAGTTTCTATAGTTTTGTCCACAGTCTAAGGTGGACAAAACTGTAGAAACAACTAAGTCTGAAGACAAAACTTTAGAAAGCCAGCGGTCGACAAGGAGACGGCAGAGTTCCACCTGTTGCGTAATCGCTCGGGATAGTATGATGAACGCGTCTTTATTTAAAATAATGTGTCATCGATCTTTACGTCATTTTAACGTCAAAAGTTGACCACCTCGATTGGGTAGTCCAAAAATATAAAAATAAATATATGTTTTAAAAATTGACAAGGAAAATACCACGCTCAATGGATCCGGCCATTCCCTCCGCGAACGAGAACATTAGGAAAATCGAAGATATTATAGACTTGCAGAAGGCGAATGGGAGCTTCAGCGTGCGTCAGGTGGCGTTCGCGCTGCCCGCGGAGGAGGCGGGCGGCGCGGCGGCGGCGCGCAGCCTCGAGTCGGGGCTGGCGGCGCGGCTGGCGCGGCGCCGCGTGCGCAAGCGGTCGCGGCGGCCGCGCAGTCCGCTGCCCGACGCCGTCTCGTGGCCCAGCGACTCCGACATCACCGTGCTGCGCATGAAGCTGTGTCTGGACGACGCCTCCGGCCCGCGCGGCAAGACGGGCGACGTGGCGCTGGGCGACGGCCTGCACCGCTCCGACGGCTCTTCCATGGTGAACCTGGCCACTCTGGTGCTACACTCGCAGCCCGCGTCCAAGCACAGCTTGCCCTCGGAGGAGTTCTTGCTGCCGCTCACTTCGTGGGAGCCGCCGCGGCCTCCCCCTTTGCCGGCCGCCGCGCCCCTCGCACCCGTCGACAGCAACGTGATGCCGCACCCCACCAGGACTTCTAAATTGGCCAAATTTTTGCGACTATACTTCTGTCCTTGCTGCACTTGTCTGTACGAGATGGAGAAAATGCGAGAAGAGCAGTCTGTTTACTTGACGAGGAGTCGGAGTCCAGTCAATGCACTCGTGTAGATCTCGATACGTCGTCGGCCTTTCACTAAGTTTTGTAAATTGCACATAAAGTACTTCGTCGTCATATCATCGCGTATTTTTACCTTGTACGACAGAGGAACTATTGCAACATTTATGTAAGTGCATACGTACATATATCTCCTCCCGGTTTGTGTCACCGACCAGCTTGTGGCTGCTGTCAGCACAAGGTGAAGCGCTTAGGCACTATTTTTCTAACACATGTTATGAATGTTGAGACAACGCCAAGCTCTGAACAATTTTAACGAGTGTAGTGTGTGTTACTACGATTAGTCTCTGTGTCCTGAGACTTCTACTCTGGCAAGTCTCGTAAATTAACGTCTTGTTGTGTTAAAACTTACACCTTCAACTGGGGACAGCGGCACGATGTCGGTCCGACGACGCTGTGCAAGTGCGTGTCTAATGATCAAGAAATGCTGACATTGAACCTCAGCACGCGCGGCTTCGCATCGCGAGTGGCGCTCCTGTTCACACTGTTTACCGTTCACCACTATTGATATTAAACGTATGCGAATCAATAAGTGGTTATTTCATTTTTTATACATATGTATGACGGGCAAAATTAGGTGAACGTAATTTTTACACGAGTTTGACTTCCCGAGTATCAAGCTAAAACCTCAAAAGTATTTTTAAATGAAACTGGCTTTAAACAAATTTGTAAATGCGAAGAAATAGCTAATTAAAATAATAGATATACAAGGAATTTTTAAAATAGATACTTCGCTCTTGAATTTTCTAGAGTGTCACTTGGCACTGATACATTACGATAAGTCTTTGAATTGCTAAACTTAAGGAAGGGAGCTTGAGCGGCCGTTCTGGATAGAAACGTCTGACGGCTTGCTAAAGGGTTTACCTACTTTAAACGCTTATTATACTACCCGATTTCAAGGGCCATGCGTCAATTGGGCGCCGCTTATTAACTTATATGTATACGTCGCCCTAATTGGGGACCCTAACTCCCTACCTGCTGTTACACCTCCCTAATTTACAGGTATATAGAATAATTATTTTGTAGATTGAAGGTTAAATGTAGACTCTGCTTTATATCGTAAGAACGACTTTTCGATGTATGCTTTATATTATATATTTTTGTGCATGATGCTGCCTGCGGTCGAGTGGTGTTGGGTGGACTGATAAAGGTCAAAGCGCACGCGTCTCGTACTGCCTCACTCAGTGTCATTTGCTTCATCAAGCAAAACTTTGAATTGTGAATCATATTGTACCTATACGTTTCTTCTTTTGATACTGTGAATGATGAAAAATCACCAGTAAGTAAAAGAGTGGCTTAGTGGGTGGCACATGCTGTGCCACCCCATCATCTCGCGTTGGACAACAATGGCCAAGTATCTTACGAGGGATTTTTGTTTTATTTTTTGTAGCGCGCTTTTTAGCGGTGGTTATTATTATTTATAGAAAGGAGTTTCGTTAACTTTCTTCGTGAGGTTAAAATAACCGACGCCGGCGGCGGCAGCGCGTTGTCCGCTGTAGAGACACGGCATTGGCTCGTTAGTCGCTCTTCACGGTCAGTTGGGAGATTTTGTTCGATTTGGGTATCGACAGTGTTGCGAAGCGTTTGACTCGTTCGATTCGTCACCGGCGGTGGCGGCAGCGGCGCTGCGGCTGCGGCTGCGGCTGCCGCTGCGGAGCGCTATAAAGCGGGAGAAAGCCCGGCGGCCCGCAGTCCCGCGATAGGCGCACGCGCACCTACACTCTGCACACGTATCTCGTTCACGTTCTTTGCTGTGAACCGCAGTTTTCCCGAGTGATATTTTGTGCGCCGCATGAATATGAGGTAAATACACTTGTGACAGTTAAAATTCAGTTTAAACCATCCATTTCAAATTAGGGCAAATGTGTAACATTCGGTTGTGATGTAAAGGAACCGGTTAGCATATATACGTTTATGGGCTCCTTTTAAAAGTAACGTTCAATAGTTACCTAAAAATTTCAACATACTTCCAGCGAGTCTCGGGAGGACATGTTTCTGTTTCAGATTTGGGCGTTATAATAATGCCGAATATCTATATATTATCGATAGTTTCGACCTTTTAGTAAAACCCGCATGAGGACTTCAAGATTTAAATATAAATTAAATTATTCGCTAAAACAGCACAACACGGAGATGCACAGATTGTACCATTGTGAGTAGGAGTCAATGGTTACAGAGTTCCACCCACGACGCGAGCGGCTGCGTCGAGCGGTGAACGACAGAAGTGCGCCTCCCTCGTCTGAGCAGAGCAAATTGCTCCCCGAGGAACTCTTCATTCCATATCGAGTACTTAGATTTTCGCGGTCGTTACATATAGGGAATGAAACTAGTTTTTAGATCTAATTCACGGATGTTTGTTTTGTTACGCGCCTGTAATTAAATGGTTCGAAATGTTGGTTGTGTCCACAGTTTTTTTTTTTTTTTTTTTATAACGCACACACTCAACATTTAGATCACTTTTAGGAAACATTTCATTTGCAACACTGCCCAACTGTACGTACTAATCATATTATCAGCTTATACGCGCCCACTGCTGGATATAAGCGGCCCCCTGAGCCGCCAACCCAATACATTAAACAAAATTCGTAGACCACGAGTTGTCTGGACATTCAATGGAAAATACTACATCTATCACGTGTTATTAGTTTTTGCAACTATCGCGTGGGAATGTTCGGCGCAGCAGCAGCGGCCTGCGGCAGCGGCGCTGCGCGAGAAAGCGAAAGTGTGTCGAGCCTACTCATGTTTACGATTCGCACCCGTGTGAGATAATTGCCGCCAAGTGTAGGTCGAACCACCGCGTCGCGGGGCGTCGTCGTCGCACCGCCGCCACGTCTCCGCCACGATGCCGCCACGTCGGCAGTGGTGCAGCTGCAGTTAGCTGCAAAAAAGAGCTCGGGCACGGCGTGACCCCGCTTGCGTAACCGCCGCATAACAAGTCGCGCCGCGCGCCCCGCGGGTCGCTGCGCACCGGTTGCCATGACTTTGCCCGCTGCGCCCGCGCCCCCCCACAGTAAGCCCAAACTTGCGTATCGTGGACTTTGGAATAATTTGTGGAATATCGAGATGATTTTTTCATATGATAAATTTTACATTACAATATTTTTTTAGAAAGTTGCTTCTTGCAGAGAAAACAAACAGTTTAGTTTTTTTGTATGTATAAGAAATGTAGGAAAATATGGTGTATGTGACTTGTTTATAGTATATATCACGGATCGGACTATCACGCAGAGGTCCCAGGTTTGATTCTCGGCCCGGGTGAAATATTTGTAAGGCCTACATTTATTTCTCTCGTGGGTTTGGGTGTAATTTGTGATTGTCTATGTGTGTGTCCATGGCACCCGCGACACGGGGTTTCCCTAGTGCTATGTTGAGTGTGTGCGCTATTATTATTATTATATATCTAACCATTCTCTACTAAAATAATGCATCTACAGGTACTTTCAGCTTTACCTGTAAAGAGCCGAATTTCTGTATTTTTTTTTTAATATACTAGTTTCTACTTAACTTTCAAGTTGCGGTTATCAATGGAGGGACAGGCAGATGGATTTCTTTTTTCTTTTTAGACAATAATTGGATCTATTTTGCTACATTTCGTTTACAGAATAAAATGTATATTTCTCCAATTAAAAAAATAAACTGTTTTTTTTTCTAAGCAACAAGCAACTTTCCAAAAAATTACTCGAGAATAAAAGTTATCACGAATGTCATTATTTACCATATACAAAAATTCATCTCAGCAAATTATTTCTCCACGAATTATCAGTTTGGGCCCACTGTTCGCCGCCGTCGCGTCGCGAGCGCGTGGCTGATGTACTCTGCGCCGCCGTGTGCTGTTGTTGTATAATAATATTTTACATAGTTAGCTACATATTATGTAGCTTCTCAAACTATACATACATATTATGCTATGTCATACTAATTTTTGAAGCACAGTGAAGTCTTACGGTACGTATTATTTAAGTATACGGTGGGGTGGACTGTGACCTAAACCTTCTCTTTAAAAGCTTCCATACTGTGGGTCGATGCTGACGTACATGCGAGTGATAAAAAGGATTACATTAGCGTCGTTTTCGTAAAGCATTTTAGTACAAATATTAGGCACTTTTGAAGGTTGATATTTCACAGCAATTGGCATGCTTGGTCCGTTTTTGCGTTTATTCACCAAATTTTAAAATATATCGGGTGATTTTTGTTTCAATGCGTAATACGTTGGTTCTTGAAATAAAAATTTAGCAAATAAATATGAACAACTGGTTAGGTTAGGTTAGATTTGAAGACCGCACAGGACCGCATTCCGTACGGACTTATTGCCTACAAGTAGTTATTTTATACATATTATGAAGGTACACATTACTGAGTATTAATTAGTAGTAGTCGTAGTATTAATTGAGAGTTAACTGCTGTTTTGCATGTATACAGACTGTGCTTTGGTTAGTCCAAACATTTAGGGGTTGACCTTTCGTCGAATTTTCCGCTAAATTACACAGGAAATTAAATGAAACACGTTGCAGATGTTGCGCGCTTGAAGATGTCGAGCGACTGCTACCTTGTGAATAGTGTTGTAATATTCTAGTTATACACAATTTAAGTATACACTTACCTACAAAGGGAATGTCTTAATTATTTGGACAATTATTTCGACGTGTGCTGAAGTTAGCATAAGTTTGGCGGCTTATTCTAAGCGGTAAATTGGCCAAGTTAAGTGAAATGCTGGTCGCAGTCATTATTATGTTATATTCGATGAATACATTGCAAACATTAATCATAAACGTGCAATTTTTATTTTATTTTATTTTATTGTGTCGACAGCGCGCGGCGCAGCTTGTACGCAGTTTAAGCAATAGGCGACTGCAATGTTCTTGAAGCAAAACTTCATGAACATCACTCACAGTGGTTTTCTTCTTGACTAAGCGGTGGTTACCACGATTCGGCTTTCGGCGAGTGTTAATTGGCGTCACCGCGCGATACCTGCGGTGCGTGTTGTCGTAATGATGTGAGCACGTTCGGATTAAATAAGAACAGGTACTGTAAGCAGAGCACCGCGGGGGTAAGCGTTCTATGGCCTTGAGCTTGTTGCAGCTCGTCGTGACCGTTTTCCACCAAGTACAACCCACGTTGCACAGCAATTCAACATTTCTTCGCTGCAGGCTTACACACTGCCAGTGGCGCAACTCTCGTGTAGCAACCCGCAGGGCGGCGGCGCGCCGGCGCCGGCGACAAATGGACGTTTGTTTCATCTTGACTACGCACTTGAGCGTCATACGCTCTAAAGTTATTTATCTATACGTAAAGTCTATCTCAGTTAATGAAATATACAGAGAACGTTACTAACTCCATCGCGAATGCGGATTAATCGTGCGTATGCAGAACTCGATTAAAAGTCTAAACCTAGGATATCAAGTAGATATGTGATCTAGTTATTGAGTTAATAGTGTGTGGCTTGCTGCCACACACTTGCCCACTATTAACTCAATAACTAGATCACATGTCTACTATAAAGGGCGCGGCGCGGCGCGCGCCGCTTCTGCGTGGGCGCATTCCGCGGCCGGGCTGATCGTTCGAGCCAACAACATATCAAGCCGTGCCGACAAGTATTTCTAAACAAAATAAAGGTTTTCCACCTAACATATCCACTACTATGGGTTCTTTTCTTCTTATTTTGAACGACACACGTTGCGGAACGCACTTCTTCAATAATAGGTACCCCACTTCTACTCTAAGTACTACTTCAATTTTAGTAGCATATATTATGTATGTGCGTGTTGTTCATCTGTTCTCTTACTGAACCTACTTACCCAACTTCAACGTTATTATAAACATAGCAACATGTGGCTTTCTCAGTAGGTACGTCATAATGTGTTTAAGTCATCAAGTATATAACCAAAAAATATATAAAGAAATAGAGACGAAATGTCATTTAATTTGTTTGAAAACTATTCTGCCATATCATTACTGTAACAACTGCGCTCCGATTGGCTAGCCCGAGTTCGAAACAATTGAACGATGTCGTCAATGGGTGTCGTCAATTGTTTCACTTCAAATCGACCAGTTCACTTGAGCTTTGCTATAATGGACGAAAATTGCAAAATTTAATATTTAATTACCGATGAAATGTGATTCCGTTTGTTTTGTAACTAGATGTTTAGCTGTTTTTCCCACACCACCGTATAGAACAGAATGCCATTGTTAGAGAGATTATCTTTATTACAATAAATACAGAATATTTTTTGGAATATTCGGAGACGTACACACAGGTCAGTAGTTGGTCTGTCTATATTTTAGTGCAAAAGACTGTTGATATTTATAAGAGCCGTATCGCTAATGTGTTACCAGGAATATATGGTCCTTATTTCGTCTCTATTTCTGGTTATATACTCGATGGTTTAAGTCTATAGAATTCGCATTTTTCGCACTTAAAAGACTTAGGAACCTAAATAGTAATTAATACCTGCAAGTTGAGTAAAATATTTTAAAAATATTATTGGTCGTGACAAAGTACCCAAAGGATAAGCTGGGCTATTAAAGAATATAAAAGAAAATTTGTCTGAATACTAAACTGTATTGTAAATTTTAATAACGTTAATTTTTATTGTAATTCAAATATTGGAACACCCATCTATGAATCGTAATTTAATATGATTTTTTCGAAGTAGTCCGGTCGCTCGGATCTGGCGTGCGTGGTGGCGCGGCGTGGTGGCGTGGTGACGTGGTTCAACACATTTAATACGCAACAACAATACTTCGTATAACTATTTATATTTCTCGTTATCGTAGTAGATACATTTCATTTATTAATAAAATTAAGTAATTTTAAAATGTCCATAAAGTTAAAATAATTATTAATAGTAAATATTCTCTACAAAACATTGAAAATACCCAATAATTAGTAGCCACAGAGTAGCTGAGAGCATATAATGAATAATAGGCAAATAATTATAAATAGCGTAAAATTAAAAAAGGAAAGTGAAGGTCGACTTAATTCCGAATTAAAGAGAGAACCGTGAAGACGTGCCATTAACCAAGACAACTTCAAGATCGTAGTCGACAAGTTCGCCAGAACGCGCATTCATTTAAAGAGTGACCTTCTGTCTAACATTGTTGGTACGTCTATATAGTTGTGATAAAATCAAGAGATTATCTTCTCCGGAAAATCTCAAAATAAAAATAACTAAAGCAAGCGAGGTGAGAAGCAACACAAATGATAGGTACCTATAGAAATAAGAAAAGGTGCTTATTTATTAAAAAGAAAATAAAGACCACGGCGCAAGAAATTAAGAAGACAGGGTTAGAGAGTGCAGCATTTCAATAAAGAAGGTTGAGTTTAAATTTAAACCAAAGACAAACTGAATTTTAACTGGAGACTAAATAAAAAAGTTGGTCTCAAATAAGTGGACATAAAGCACTGTTCATAAATATTACGCATCATCTTGATGATTGCATCAGAATTTGTTTCTGACCATCACCACTGCCGAAACAAATATTCGCAGTTGATCGAATCCTGACATTGTCATTGTTTGGAGTCAGTTATATAATGTACCTTTTATTATATCGCTAATGGCATTTGTGCAGGTGTGGGATTGGGGATAAGCGCAATGGCTTTTACGATCTAATGCATATGATAAGTAGATCTAACTGGGCTAGAATCATACTTAGAACATTGTTGGGATCAAATGAGCAAATAGAAATAGAATAAATCCATGATCAACCAGACAAACGATAAAAATATTAGAGAACAACGATGTTGCAGAAAGCCCGTGCAACTGATTTGTCACCACTTCGTCATGGGCCAAAAAGCTACCGAGTAAATAATATGTTTGCATTGCAACTCGACTCGGCGTGAAACGTCAGCGGTAGCGCCTACGCAACTAAGGTCTCATTTCACGACTCGATGACTCGATGGAGAAAGTACAAAAATATGGTTATTGCGTTGCAATTGTAATGGTTTACTCGATTTAGTATTTACTTAATCGTTATTCGTAATGAAATAAGGTAATAAATCTATGTTTGGATTTCCTTCTTTATTACAGAAGCGGCAGAAGTACGACCGGAGAGCGGTTTCGGAGGCTGGCAACACTGTGGCTGGCGTTGACTGCGCTGAGTGCGATGGCACGCGCGTACGCCGTGCCGGTCGACGACGCTGTGCCCGACGAGCTCGACGCGTTTGACGCCGACGACGACGAGCTGGCACTCGACCAGGAGGTGCGTACAGTCACTGACCACCGCAGACTAGGTGAAAGTCGAAAGTGCTACTGTGGTTTTTCAAATCTTTTTTAATACTTTTGTGTTTTACTGTCATGTTGCTTATTGGAACTCACTTCACGACGGCGTTGTATCAGAGTTTGATAAATTTGAGAAGTTTATGTCGGAGCTAAACAGTTCAATTAGCCATTCGACCAATGGTCGCCGAAGGATCGTCAGTTAGAAGATTCATTCAATGGCTCAGTTTAGTGAGTGGATTAGACCGTTAATTTAGTGGCTTAATAAGTCATCATAGTTAAATAAATGAACGAATGAAAGAAACGGCGCGGCTAGGTAATAATACTTTTCTGGCATATAGTATTTAATAGTTTGGCTATTAGGCTGGGTGTGCGGTTATGTAAGTCTCAGGGGATGGAAAAAAGATAAAGATTTCAGTTGTTACGAAACGGTGCAGCAACAGGTGAAATTCAAATTTAAATGAAGTGTTCGTAATAGAATTGAAGCAGCTCGTTCTGTCTACATTCACTCGTTCTGTCTTACTGTCATTTTCTTTTTTCCACAACCCATTTGATGTGTACATTTTTATTAAAAATAAATGCAATAAATACGTTCAGCACGCCAAAAACATTGTTTACATTCAGTAACTGAACATATGGTGCCGAAGTATCTTTGTTTTTTTTTAATAACGCACACACTCAACATGGCCCCGCACTAGGAACACCCTGTCTCGCGGGTGCCATGGACACACAACCACAAATTACACACATCGAATCGAACCTGGGATCTCTGCGTCGCAGTCCGACATGGTAACTGTTCGGCCACAGAGGCAATTAAATTATATTCAATAAAATTATAACGGAGGCAGTTTGTAAATGACATGTATTGGTATTTACCTTTTACAACATTCATTTCAAATAAAAGTAATCTGAAAATACGAACCGGATCAGTCCCTTTTATCATCTAAGTGCGCAGTGGTTGTATAATAACATTTTGTGTAGTTTTACATTGAAGTCACGGTTAGAGACACCATAATGACTAAGTTTCTTGACCAGTGTATTTTTTTATTTATTTAAGCCGCTCGTAAACTATCATTACAGATTATTATCCAACGCGATAGTCTAGACAATATGATGAATACTTACAAGTGCCTAGATACAGTATTAAGTCCAGATAAATAAAGTAACCTTTGTGAATTCACTTAGAGGATTCGTAAATATGTCCACCTCATCATCAATCAAGTTCCTTAGAATAATAACGCATAGAATGATAGTTTCATATCAAACGAACTGTCACAAGTGAGGCAAAAATCCAATTCATGTAGGCTAGTTTTAGTAGTAGGTTAAATTTCGGTTTTAGTGAATATTTATATAAAAATACAAGTTGAAACGCGTTACTTCCTTGTGGAATGTGATGTTAGTACTATTTTATGTTTGTCTGACGTATTTTTACACTCATTTACCGCACATTTCGTCATTTTTAGCAAAAATTCTGGAGCTGTTCGTGGTGCAAGTTGACCTTGAGCACTGAAGGCCCGCCCGCTCGTGTAGGCCTTTTGGGCGCGCTTCAATTTGCCTCACTTAGCGTGTGCGGACTAGGTTTCTATGCGTTATTATTCTAAGTCAAGTTCATGATCCGTGTTGCGCGCGTGAGCGGCGGCGCTTGTCCTAACATGTTGGTGCGCGCATACGGCACCACCACTAGCTGCGGCCGTTGCCTTCGTTTCACATACCTACCTGTTTGGCGCACTAAAATTTATGTGTCTCAGTAAACCCGCATTTTAATTTTTTGCCTTTAGTAATTTAAAAATATATGTTACTAATGCTACATTTCTTCTGACTTCGAGTTTATTGTAACCTATCATTCTTAATATAAATAATGTTGGATACATCCGTGGATAGAATGGATATACCCCGTAATGTCTTAAATACATATATCTTATAAATTTATTCTGTATTTTCTCAAGTATAAGGGCATTTCACTCAAGCTAGCTTCTCACCAGAGTATTATATAAAACTATGATCGCTTTAATATTCGTGAAACTGTGTGCTTTGCGCAGGACAAAACCCAAATGGCTGTACACTTTCTTGCAGATGTTATACACGTGATCTCGAAAGTGATGCAGTTAAAGGAACGCCCAAATCGTTCACCTCATTCACCCTCGCCATGGTTATATACCCAGTCCCTTGTAATCGTGCACCCTAGGTCTGTGTGCGCGAGAGAAAGTAATAGCTGTGCATTTGGCGGTATTATATTTATAGTAACCTATTCTCATGGCTCCAAGCTACCACTGTGTCGATGTCTCTCTGCAACTTTTCGCAATCACCTTGATCTTGTACTGCGAGATGCAATTTCAGGTCGTCCGCAAACAACAAGCACTTGGCATCTTGTACCTACTTGCTTCGGCAAGTCGTTTATGACTAGCAGGAATTCCAAAGGCCCAAGATTACTGACTTGATTTACGCCGGATGTGGTGTAACAGGTAACCTATCACAAAGTCGAAAATGTTTTTGTTCGAAATAACGTTTGCTCAAATTTTCATTACACCGAAAACCGAATTATAACGAAATAGTTGTTCTTTCAGGATATGTTGAGTGTTTATCGCAAAGACACGATTAGGTTAGGTTAAGTTAGGTTTAAAAAAAAATATTTTTCTCTCAAAATTATTTTCGAGGTCATAAAATTTCGATCAAACGTTATTTCTGGAAAATGTAATTTTGGGCTACTGAAAGGTAACCGATGTAATACGTATCTGACACATACCCAGCGTAATTGACATACTGCTGAAACCAAAAGCTTTTTCGAAGTCGAAATAAGCAGCATCCAACTGCACCCCACTATCCTCAAATGGACACTGAACACACTAGCCACGTCAGCCAAATAGTTGTGTAGGTTACAGTCGTACTTCGTGCCGGGCGGAACCCGTGCTGCGAGTCTGTCAACTATGCGCTTACCAATGAGTACAAAGACTTGTGGATAGCAGTCTAAAGAACCTTTCCGGCGTCGACAATATTGCTATTGGTCTGTATTCCTCCACGATAGACGATGACCCACCCTTTGGCACCACCCGTGTCAGCTTCCCCCTTTCCGGGAAAACCGCCGACTCCAGGCAAAGATTATAAATATGCAGTAAGGGACCCATCAAAACATCTCGACATTGCCTAAAAAGGAAGGGTGGAATACCATCTGGCCCCGTGGATGTTTTAGGCTTGAGCCGCTGCAGAGCTCTCCTCATATCATTTACTTGGAGCCGATCCAAATGTAGGTACGCACACTCCCTCATTAGCAGTACCAGCAGCGCAGACAGACATTAAGGCGTTACTGTAAAATGTTAGGTACGCTGCTGCTTAACAATTACGCTGCGAATCAATAAGTATAGAATTCGTATTCGTGGCTATGAAATTCACCACACACACTCATTTATCTTGAAGGAAGACCAACAGCCTAAAACTAACTTATATAATAATAGTAACATCTGAGAGCCAATCACAGATCCTCACAAATAGAAACGTAATATAAGGGATGCACAATTTAACTAACCTACCGCATAAAATATAACTTATTACGTAAAACATAAAAATACAACCTGAGACAAATTCAGATATAATTAATACTTTTAATTAAATCTAATAATATTGATAAATAACAATAATAATAATCATTTAATAATACTAAGTATAAATTTTAATTTGAACACAAAACGGAAATAATACGCCGAAAAACTGACTGAGTAATTTGGTTTGCGTCTTAGAGAAAGCGCATCAAAAACATGCTTGTATAAACTGTACATGGCACCGACTGGGTTGGAAGTAAAAATCGGCATCGACAAGCGCCGTCGCGTGCGCCGCTCACCCGTATCCGTTGATACGACCGGTACCATAATTGCATTAATTGCCGACATTCGCTGCAGGCGACGTCGTCGCGCACGAACGGTTGAAAACCGAAATTCCTAAGTTACATATTTTTGTATAATAGACTTAACAACTTTCCTTAGTAATCGATGCGATGAATGTTGGTTGCAGGAGTCGAGAAATTTGCGGCCACGCGCTTATACTACTGGCGCATATAACGCTTTGCCCAGTGGCTTCCGACCGACACCCTCTCTAGCCGAGCTGGCGGGGTACCAGCGCGGGCCGCAGCAGGAGCCCTCAGCCGCACCGCAGCATTACACAGAGCAGCATGGGCAGCTACAGGGCCAGTTGCAGAGCCAGTTGCAAAGCCAGTCGCAGGGCCGACCGCCGCAGCGCAAGGCGAGTTTTGTTTTGAGTTTTCGGCAACAAAAAAAGGCCTGAACAAAGGCCTGAACGATTACTCGTCGATTGACCGGCGCGGCTGGTTGCAGGTGGCGCAGGCGCAACGTCCACAGGCTCAGGCGCAGTTGGAGGAGGTGGAGGCAGATGAGGAGCGCGAGGAACCGGACCGGCTGGCGCAGCTGCTGCAGCAGTCGCGGTTCGATTGTGTTGGCAAGCAGTCGGGCTATTACGCAGATCAGGAGCTCGCCTGCGAGGTCTTCCACTATTGTCAGGACAGCGTTAAACACTCCTGGATTTGTCCTGACGGTTTCACATTCCATCAAGTAATAAATTTTTTTTGTTTTTCTTTTTAAATATCGTGCAATGAAACGTGCGCCATCACGACGTGCATATTAGTCGCGCACATTTTGAACGGTTGACCGAAAGTATAAATTATTTTTATGATTCTTATTTTTAATTCCGAATCAATTAAAACACGTTATAATATCGAATCGCAAACAAAGGTTAGTTCGTATTATATTTTATTGATTTCTCAAAAATGTAAGCTAAGTGTCGGTCTAAGCTTGGATCTTAGGTCTAAATTACTGCAGAATGTCTGACTTAAGAACGACACACCCTAAAAGCAGCTTTTAAGTTTTATAAAACTGGCGTACCTATAAGCTAGTGCCAGATAAAATATATTTTAACAAAAATAATAAGAAAAGTGAAGTCTCCGCCTTAATAAAGCTTTACGATCACGTAATTTAACTAAGTAGAATATTCATAGACAATTCATACCAGATATTTCGAGATTTTTACCGCATCTTTCAAAACCTATCCCATGAGCATGAATGTACAAAAAAAAAAAGTTTTATTTACAGAGAAATAGCCCCCAATATAATATTTTTTTTATTTTGCAAATAGTGACTATTGTGGAAACTTGGTGTAATAAAACGGTTTTTGATCTTTTAATTAATTTCCGTAACCTTTTTGTTCGAGCCTATTGAGATTTTGTATGTCCGCGTTTCCCTCGAAAATCGTATGTCCATGAATATGGCTGTGAGGTTCTCGATCTGTGACAGGTTCATCTGATCTGCATGCCGCCCACGCACGACAACATTTGCCAGAAGTCAGCCAAATACCACTTCGTCAACGAGTACCTGTATCGGCCGATCAACCAGGAGGAAGTGCAACGCAAACCCAACGTGTCGCTTAAGTACTCCGACCGGTACTATCCCGCCGAGGTGTACCACGACGATCGCTTCGAGGAGGACGAGGACGGTGACGAGGTGCGTTTGCTCTCGCGAACCGCTTGTGTGCGGTTTCCTTCAGCCGCGGTGTTCGCTGACGGAGCTTCTGTTACAGGAGGAGGCCCCGAGAAAGGCGACGCCCGCGGCGGCGCGCCTCGCTTCGTCGGCGGCGACCCCGGCTGCGCGGCCGCAGCCCACGGCTCAGGTGTTCCGCTCGCCGGAAGAGGTGAACATACCGCTGTTGCAGCGCAGGCCGCAGCGCCCCTACGACTTCGACTTCTGACCCGGCGAGTAGTCCGGTTCGGCTGGCTCGGCCCGCTCCCACCGCCGCGTCGCGTACATTTATCAAAAATACTATTTATACTTATATTGTTTAAGTTTTGTGTCACAAATTAGTTGTAAGCTAGTCTCATAATAGGTATTAAGGAGCGCTGTTGATTGAGTAAACGAGTGATTATAGCAACGTTTATTTCATTAAAAACATGGATCATTCGCGACGGGGCGAAGCGAAAGATGGCGCGTGTACTGGCGATGGCAGCTTTCTCGCGGCCGGACTCCAAAGGGCACATTTCGCATCGCATCATTTATCTGAAAGTATTGTACAAACTGTACAAAGTTATTGTTAATGTTAAACTTATATGTATAGACAACACAAGAAAGTAAACAAAGTTGTTGTCATGATGATAGACAATAATTAATGTACCTAACTAGATAGAAACGAAGCTAATCACCTTAGCGGAGATTTGCCCAAGTAATGATTTACTGTAGGAATTAATAGAACGCAGTCAAATTTGAAACAGTTCGAATGAAGATCAGAATTCTACCTTTCGTACTAAAAGGTAGAATTCTGATGTTAATTACTTAATCCATAGCTTTTTTATAAACCGACCTCAAAACTTTACAGAATTACATCTATTTGCCAAGTTTTGTGAAATCGGTTAAAAATAAAGAACTAGTACGGAAATTTATTTACTTATGCATATAAAGCTACAAATCCTGATTCACTTAGAAAAATAGAACTACTTAAAAAATATATTTATATTGTTGTACGCGGATAGGTTCATAATATAGATGACCTGAATGTGGCCTGCAAAAACATTATATGTTATCATATAGAGGGGTTATTTGAGCATTTTATAAGGCACACCCTGCGTGATTTCCGCCGGAAGTAAAAAATATTCGAAATTTAACTAAACAAGAATGCATTTCAAAGTCTTTTATGACCGAAACTATTAAAGAAAGGCAGGTGCTGGAAGGAATGTCATAGAGGGTAACACTGGTCAACTGCTTGTGTCAAAAAAAGACAAGACGGCGAATCCAAAATGGCGACCGAAGAAAAACTTGCTTCTATCCGGTAGAAAATTGGCATGCGAAGGTCTTTAGGAGCCCTTAATCATAATTTGGGGTCAAAAGTTTCTTTTCGCCACTTTATAACATGGCTGCCATACAAGCGAATTTTTCGTTAAAAATGGCTGCCCATATCAGTCAACCGTGACCATGGGACCTGTAAAGGGCCCGAAACGTTGGTTTGTTTGAAAAAACAAATATAAGCGATTTAAATCCGGAAAAATCGTTTCATTTTCTATTAATATTATTTTACTTACTTGTTGGCCAACACCAACCTTTTTATTTCAATTCATTGATTTTTTAAATCGATGTGTTCATTAATAAAATGTAACTAAATATAAAAAAATATCTGTGAAAACATCTCATAACAACCCTGTTTTGTAAATTACTTACTCTTTTCTTACTAACGATATATGTAACAATCACTTAACATGAGAAAAGATATTGAAAAAACGAGTATTACAATTATTCTACAATAAGGGTAGTTGCACAGTCAAAGGTGAGTAGAGTAATAATATTGATATTATCGTAATGACACGATTATGACGTAAATAATAAAATAGATTCCATTCACATTATTAGTAATCGTAGTTAATAAGCGCCCGTATTGGTTACCAGGTTACCAGTTTCGACTTTCTTTCGACCTGTTCATTCTTGTCCCTGAAATTGTCGAGCACGCGTTAAATAAGAAATAATATTTCTATAGTGTGTTTGTGTGTACATGTCATACAGGTGAATAGTCTGCAATTAAAAAAAACAACGTTATATCGTCTTTCAAATTTCGTCTAGTTTTGTTTGTAATGATTTACTAATAACACTCGATGTCTGATGTATTTGCAGATACTGTGACCAACCAGCAAATTTAAATCAGTGGTCCCTTTAGTAGTAGGTGCCTTTAATCCTTCTTTACTTGATGTTACGTCTGCAGACGATGTTGCAGCTCTACTACACTGCAGTGTGATACCATTTCTTGAAAATAATATCTAAGAAATAACCAGCAACTTTATATCTCCGACACTTGAGGTATCTGCAACTTCTGTGACAACTCCATGTATATTGGAACCAGTAGCCGAAGCCCTGAGTCCTTTGTTACTTAATATTACACCTGCAAACGATATTGCAGATCCACAACTTTGCAAAAAAAGAAAAACAGACTCCAAGAAAATAATTTTGGAAAATTATATGTTGATTTTGTATTTGATGAAGATTTAGAAGATTTTTCTGACGGAAGTTCCGATAATTGGATGGCTAAAGAGTCTGAAAGTTCATTTGATGAAGAGACATGTAAGAATAAACGTAAGAAAAAGATGAAATTAGTCAAAAAAAGAAAAACCTACAAAAGAAACTACGATGTCAAAGAAACGATAAAGGAAGCCTAACAAACAGAAACAACAAAAACAGTCTAGAGACGAAGGAATGCGAAACAACAAAATCAGGGAAAGAGGTGGCAAAAAGAGTTTAAAGACAAAACCTTGTGCGGTAGGTAAATGTGGACGGAGTTGTTACAAAACACCAGAGGAGAGAAGAAAAAGCATTTGTGTGCTTTTTATTGGACTCTAGATCCTTCACGTCAATGCGACTGGTTAGCACGCTGTGTTAAAGCAGTTCCAATAAAAAAAAGAAAAATGAAACAAGACATGAGCAGAACAGATAACCTACGAATATTACTTGAATGATGGGGAAGATTATTTATGCAAATATGTCAACAGTTTCTACTGAAAATATTGGACATCACCCAAACTTTTCTTCTTTACACTGTAAGCTAGTGAGAGGTATAAAAATGTGCTGCTTTAGTGCGATTTAGAGCTGTGGCCAGAATAAAAATAAAGTTGTTTTGGCTGCAATTAACCACTTTTTGCATATTTCCCAAAATGTTGACGTTGTACAGATTAACTACCCTTTACCAGGGCACACTTACATGTCCGTTCAGTCCATGCTGTAATCGAGATTGAGCTAAAAAGTGATACTAAGAGGTGCTGATCAATGGCCAACGTATATAGAGAACGCACGAAAGAAGCCAAAACCGTATAACATCAATGTCATTGAACACCGTGAGTTCATCAACTGGAAAACTATTACTGCAGATACTTTCACAACAAATTCACAAAAGGAAATCAAGATGAAAGGCATGCGTGTAGTTACTTTTAGAAATAACAATTTTAATAAAATTTAAATAAAGTATACTATGTAACGTGTCGAAGCGACGTGAGTAATATGAGAACTATAACGAAGCGTAAACACATACGTCGTTGTTATTTACTATGATGGTCAGGAAAGAAAAAGGAAGAGGAAAGGGCAAAAGAGGTAGAGAGCAGCAATCTAACTTACTTATGCGAATAACAGATGTCAAGCAAAATAATATTTGATTTGCCTCAAGTTTACAATCCTATTTTAGATCTTAAATTTAAATAATTATGTGTCGGTAGCTAATTTATTAATTAAGTTTCAGATTCAAAATTGAAATCCTGTCCTGTCCTGTTTTCAAATTAAATTTTGGTTTTAAAACCAAATTATTATTAACAAAAGTAATTTATTTTAGAACTTTTAATAGCAAAAGTATCTTGTATATTAAGTGTCATTTCGTCGGTGTTTTGTAGAAATGGCGAAAGCGCCATTTCAATTTTTTTCAGGTGAGTTTTAGAATCAAAATTGGATTTTATAATACATAGGTACAAGTTACTTTGGCTATTTCTAAATGACATTACTTTTGTTAATAATAGTAGATTAGCGGAGAATTTGATAAAAGATTATTTATGAAGTGGTTGTTTTTCCTTAAAATCCTAATCTTAATCTACTTTAAAATACGTAATGTAGAGATAACGATGTAAATCAGCTATGATCTTTACATCTTTATTGTCAAAGCTGATGTTACTTACACCATTTTTTTTTTAATTAGTAAGATTTAACTACGCTTACAACCTAATTGTGACTAATCACCTTTGGTAATAAGGGTAAATTTTTCAAATTGGCGCAAGTGTATGGGACACTGTCTCCATAATTATTAAATTTACATGGTTTCAAGCATTATTTCATAAAAGCGGACTTTATTTCTAACATTTTAGTCTAAGACGTCTACCGCATAGCTTAAAAAATTAAAAAGTTACAGCACTTTTTTTTTAATTTTTTATTTTTTGCTCATTCTGTAAACCTGTACCCGTACCCGTACTGTGTCTCTTACGACAATTGAAGTTAGGAGTGTAGATATATAGATACTTGTATAAACAAGGAGCAACATACAGTTGTTAAAACCACTAAATCGAATAAAAAAAACGAATATTTTTTGTTGAAGTTTATTTCGGGTTCTAATACAACTTAAAACACCCGGTGTGAGCCATGGTTTGTATATTGGTGATTTTTGTGTTATTATTTATTATTTCGGACATAGTTGGACGTGTTTTCTATTATTTTTTGTAGTGGTGGGCGTTGAAATTTTTTTATCTTGCCGAGGTGGGCGGTGAGCTTAAAAGTTTGGGAACCTATGGTCTATGGCAACAGGTTAAACACACACATAAACACGCACACACGTACACACACACACACACATACACACACACAAACGCGCGTTTAGAGATTCTAAATAAATTTAAAAGTTTATTAAATTTATGAATGTTGAAAATTGTTAAACATTGTTTGTTTTCACATTGTTTAGAAAAGTAAATAGTAAACACTAAATTAAGTATAAGTTAGAAATGTAAAGTGTGCATTTATAGTTATGGAAGGAAGAGCGGTACCTCCTGACACAGGCTTGATAAGCTTAATAGGAGATACCGGTACCATCCACTGTTCATATAAAGTTAATAGTATTACTGAAATAAACTCTTATTATTATTATTATTATTATTCTCCAGCTGCATTATAAGTATAACACGTGCCGTGCAAGTCAATGACGATGTTTACCACAATTAAGTAAAAAATAAGAATTTTGGATGTTTTTTGTTTGATTATTTTAGTGATTTGGGTTAAATTTCGGATACAGAATGACCTCTGTAAATATATTATGACCAGAATGCAAATCACGACTTGTATGAACAGGTGGAGTTACGAAAGAAGGATAGCGAAAGTTGCCCCATCCACGACGAAGAGCCACTCAAGGACTTTGCTAGTATCATTTTGCATTTTAGTTTATGCCTCAATCTATCAATATATTTTTGTATATATATTTTAGAAGTCGGGAGTAAAAACATTGTAAAACATTGTATTTTAGAATATATACAAAAAAACGCAATTCATTCAGTTCGACC